GAGTGGTGGTTTCTATCCCTTGCCCCCAAAAGCTCTAATCCGCTCTGTGAGCCTCCAGTGAGGTTTCGCTAAGATACTATTATGTCGTGGTCTGGGTGGATCAGAGGGGTGCTCCATACACATCGTCTGTTTCTGTTCTTCTGAGACGGACTCTCACTCTGTTACGCAGGCTGGAGCACAGTGGTGCAGTCTCGGCTTACCACAACCTCCACCTCCTGGTGATTCTCCTGCCTCAGCCTCACAACTAGCTGGGATGACAGGCACCCGCCACCACACCTGGCTACTTTTTGTATTTTTAGTAGAGATGGGGTTTCGCCATGTTGGCCAGGCTGATCTTGAACTCCTGACCTCAAGTGATCCTGCCCCCAAAGTGCTGGGATTACAGGCGTGAGCCACCACGGCTGGCTGACAGCCACTGCTTTTAACCCTATCCTGCCACTCATATTTACATTGTGTACATATGAGTAGCAGAGGGCAGGCACAAAATGAGGTCTTTGAGGACCGTGGTGCCTGCTACCAGCAACCTTCTGTAACATTTACCTCCCCAACCGAATCTTGCTAACCAGATGTAAACACAGGGAACAGGACAGAATAAGGCCACATATTTTAGAACTGCTGACAGATGGCAGGGAAAATACTCAAGCAGATTGCAGCATTAGGAGGCGGGAGGCGGCACACATGGGCATTGGTTTACTTTCCGCCTCTTTCCCAGGCACACACGTCGCTTCTAACTTCTGGGTACCTGCCCTTCCCCACGTCTCCCCACGTCCCGTGCATTATCCACCCTCAAGTTCAAGGTAAGGGCACTTGCTTCTTTGAGCACAGAGGGCACTGTGCGCCCGACGGGGTTCCCTCCCCTCCCTTATCCTTGTCAACTGCACATTTAACACACGAGAAAACAGGCTCAGAGCAGGCTGTTGACATGAACAAGGTCACGTGGCCGGCTGGAGGGCGAGCTGGAACTGGACGCCGAGTATCCAGGCCGGCAGCACAGCACACCTTCTGCAGTCTGGACACACATCAAGGTCTCATGTCCTCAGCCTGCAGAAGGACCTCCACCCCTGCCACACACCCCCGGGTCTTTCTCCCTGCCCCAGGAGACTGTTTGCCCTCTCAGAACGCTCCACAGGGCACTCCATTTCCTGAGGGCCCCTGACAGGCTAAGTCCTTACATACATTTCCTTCTCCTGTTCACCTCAAAGAAGAGGATACTGAGGCTCGAGAAAGAAAAGCAACTTGCTCTGACTTCCAGTAGTAAGTTGCAGAGCTGCGATTTGAACCTGGCTGTTTGACACCAAAGTCCACGTGCTCCTGGCCACAGCCACAAGAGCCGGCCCAGCCTAGGTGGGGAGGAAGGAGGCACACGGTGCCTTTTAGCAGCACACTCAGTAGAGGACTTGCCTCCGTCTCCTCCCGCCCATGGGTGCAGCAGCCTGAGCCCCACGCCCTTTCCTTGGCACGCTTGACCCAGCCGATAGGAAGGCAGGGCCGGGGAGAAGGGTTGCAACTCTCGGCTTGGACCTCAGCATGCATAGGCAATCATAAAACACCTCCTGGCTCTTGACAGGATTCCAAAGCAGTCTCTGGGTTTTATTCTCAGGGGAAGTACAGCTAATTTCAGATCTGGACATTTAAATCCTGGATCAACAGAGAAGGTGTCCTGTTTTCACCTTGAAGCCCTTAGAATCTTCTCTGTAACCTTCCCAAACTCAACAAACATGTTGAAGAAAGAAAGATCTAGAGTCTGTTTGATTTCTCAGCTAGGATGCGGAGCGTGGGTCTGACACCTGGCGTCCCCCGTCTCCTCACAGAGAGCTGGGTGGTAGTCAGAATAAGAAGCAAAGCAGGGGACAAGTGCTTTCCCTCACCCACCGGCCTTTCCCCAGGAGTAACAGCGGGTTCAGGGGTTGGTACAGGCGTGTGTGTGTCAAGAGCACAGGCTGAGAGTATTAGTGTGGGTTTCCTGCTCACTCCGTCCACAAGCTCCTTCAGGGCAAAAATTTATCTCCGAGGCTGCCTTCTCCGCTGGGCCTGTCTCTCCCCGCCCCAAACCGAATCTGTGCCAAGTGCATCTGCCCCTTATCTGGCCTCCTCTCTGCTTCAGCCATTCATTCCCCTTCCCACATGGACAACCACGGCCTCCTGCTGGTTTCCACTCTTGCCCGGCTTATCCTCCACTCAGGAGCTAGTGACCTTCCTCAGGAGGACCAGCTCAAGTCACAGCAGTTTGTTTTGGTTTGTTTTTTTTTTTTTGAGACAGAGTCTGACTCTGATTGCCCAGGCTGGAGTGCAATGAATCTCAGCTTGGCTCACTGCAATGGTGCAGTCTTGGCTCACTGGAACCCCGCCTCCTGGGTTCAAGTGATCTCCTGCCTCAGCCTCCCAAGTAGCTGGGATTACAGGCATGTGCCACCACACCAGGCTAGTTTTTGTAATTTTAGTAGAGACGGGGTTTCATCGCTTTGGCCAGGATGGTCTTGAACTTCTGAGCTCAACTGATCCACCCGCCTTGGCCTCCCAAAGTGCTGGAAGTATACAGTTGAGACATGGTGCCCAGCCCACTACCCTGCTTAAAGGCTCTCCTGTGCCCGAGCCATGGGAACCTTGCAACACCCTTCATGTGGGGCCCCAGTGCTTCCCACACCCTATCCATGCTCTGTCCTACTGGGAGAAAGGGGGCTGGGGATCACAAGGAGAAAGCGAGTTTGCAGGAGGACGGGTTTGTTTCCTGTGGCTGCTGTAACAAATGACCACACACCCAGAGGCTTACAACACACACCCACGCTCTCACGGGTCTGGAGGCCAGAAGTCCGAAGTCAGTTTCACGGGACCTGATTATGTTAACAGTCACACTCCCTCCGTAGACTCTAGGACAGAATCCACGTCTTACCTTTTCTGGCACCTGGTGGCTGCTGGCATTCCTTGACTGGCGGATTCATCACTCCAGTCTTTGCCATCTTCACACGGCCTTCTTGCCCGTGTGAGGAACCTCCTCCCGCCCCTCTCCTAAAAGCACACTTGTGAGGGCATTTAAGGACCACGGGATAAGCCAGGATCATGTCTTCGCCTCAAGATCCTCCACCCCACCACAACTGCAAGCATCTGATCCAGCAACATTCACAGGTTCTGGGGATTGGGACCTGATCTCTGGGGGCCGTCATTCAGCTGGCTGCACACGCAGGGCCTGTGGACTGTGTGTGGCTCACACCAGAGAAAGGCCTGCTGCTACTCACCCACTCTGGGCAGGGGCGGGTGTTTCGAACACAGTAACTGGGCGGCATGGGAAGTGCATCTCAGCCACATTAGAGAGGAACCCCAAGGCGGTTAATAGGCAAGACAGACAGGGCAACTTCAACAAAGAGCCCTGGGCTCCACCTGCTACTACCCTTTGTCTGTGAAAGTGACAAGGGCCCAGAGACCTAGATGCTTCCTTCCAGGGGAGGAGACAGTTGGATTAGGCGCAAACATCCCCTCTGGGGGGTCCTTTCCCAGTAGGAATCTGATTGCCACTTGATAGGGTTTCGCTGTGCCCCCATCCAAATCTCATCTTGTAGTTCTCGTAATCCCACGTGTTTCAGGAGGTAACTGAATCACAGGCGTCGTTACTTTCATGCTGTTCTCATGAGACCTGAGTTCTCATGAGACCTGACGGTTTTATAAGGGGCTTTTCCGAACTTCACTCTGCACCTCTCCTTGCTGCCACCATGTGAAGACGGTTGTTTGCTTCCCCTTCTGCCATGACTGTGAGTTTCCAGAGGCCTCCCTAGCCCTGCGGAACTGTGAATCTCTTTCCTTTCTAAACTACCCAGTCTTGGTGATGTCTTTATTAGCAGCGTGAGAATGGACCAATACACCATAATCACTCGTGAGATCTTTATCCTTACAGTTCACAGGTGGTAGATGGCTGGCACAGACGGAGCCAAAACAGAGCCTTATCTGCTCTGAAGAGCCACGGGAAGATCTGTGGTCCTGGATCACGGACAGTGGTACTCGGTGTCAACTAGAAGCCCAGGGTGGGCAGGCTGTCATGCAAACATTGCCTTCCCTTGGGAAACGTGGCGGTAGGAGGTCACGGTGCCCAGTCCAGCAGGGACATGCCACTTGGTCGTTGCTGGGCCTGTACTCTGGGGGCACTTTATGTTTAGAGGCTAATTTTGAGGGGATGGGCGTGGGGCTGCAGCATAAACCGTGTCCTGAGTGACCCTCGGAAACCTCTGAAATATTAAATTAGGAAGACAGTGGGCTAAATGTTTCTTGTCTGCAGCCTCTGGGCCACAGTTACCAAGCTTTAGAAATGATAGCTGCAGCTGCCAGTGCCCTGGGGCTCTGAGCGTTCACCTTCACTGCAGACACTAAGCAGGTTCGAAGCAGGAAAGAAAGGGGCACACCTGCCAAGCACAGTTTCAGGACTTTTGCTGAGTTAATCTGGGTGGATGAGACTCGGGGAGTCCTTTTGTATATTCAGGGATAAGCTTTGTAAGGTTCCACTTTGGGTCAGTGGAAGAGTTTTCACAACACAAATGATACTATAAAGTTGTCTTCTCCGGCCTGGTACTGGGGACCACTGGTCAAAGACAAGGTGGGGACATTGCGGACGCTTCTTGGAGCCGCAGCAACCACAGCAGAGAACTCGTAATGAATTTTTTCTTGGAGGACACAGCAGAGGAGTAAAACAAAATTTATCCTAGCTTCAGATAGGATCCTCTTCCATCTAGGCAGATGGGATCCAAGGGACAGGAGGGATCCTGGAGAGAGATGACAGACGAGGGTGATGCAGGCCTGGTGTGCTGCACCAGCTGCAGCTGCAGCTCCCTAGAAGCAGACAGTCCTTACCCAGCCACACGGAGCCCAGGGAAGGAAATGAGGGATGTGCCCATGTTAAACACACATACACACACACACACACACACTCACATGCACACACACACACACGCTCACACATACAGACACACACACACGCGCGCTCAGACTCAACCCTTTTGTCACAAGAAATGTTACTATTTAATTACTCAGAACTCAGTAGCGTTTTCTGGCTATTTTATTTTTAGCCGTTGGAAACTTGTTTCAAGAAACAGACACCATATCATAAACATCAGATATCAGCTCACTGACATGAAATTATTAACAATATGACTTTCAGATGGAATCTTAAGTACTTCCAGTAAACACTAAGATTTTGACAAATATTTTCATCCTGCGATCTGTCTTATATTTGTCCAAAAAAGTCTGACTATCATGTAATAGAACTGAGGTTTTAAGTACAAGTCCGAGAACACACAAATGAATGTCACCTGCAGCCACCACCAAAAAGCACAGTTCTGCTTCTACCCCCAACATCTTGTAAATTCCTATTTAGAGACACTTGCTCAAGAGGAACCAGCTGCACAGCCCACTTGCCGTCAAAGGCAACACAGGTCGGTCCTGTTGTCACTGAATTCTCAGGCTCAGCTCCCAGGGCTTCTAGAAAGGGATCTCAAAAGCCCAAACTCCCTTCCGCATTATTAAGGCTTGTCCCCACTGTGGGTCCAAAAACGACTCCCCTAGATCTGAGTAGCATTCCAACAGATTTCAACCAGGTGGTCTCCGTGTGCTGCAGCCTCCTTGCAGGAACGATCAGGACCGCGCTGGAGAAGCCTACCTGCGGTGTGGGCGTGGAGTCTGCCTGCTCACAGATCCGGCTCCCCGCTGTGCAGTCACGCCGCCCACCACCCACCTGGTGTTGAGGTTGAACACACACTCTGGGCTAGGGACGATCCAGCTTCTAGAAAAAATGCCAACCTGGAATCTTATGGCACTAGTTCAAGCTGGGATGGAACAGCAGCAGGAGATACGCAATACCTCAGGCTCAGTATTGCACAGAGTGAGCCAAGCCCCTGTCCTGTGCCCAGCACCACCGATGTCATCAAGTTCTTTATCAAGTGCGCAAACTCTGCCAACCTGAAGAACTAACCCCAGCCCCCAAACACATCCCAATCTGCAAAAGGAGAACAAAATCTCAAATATCATTATGATGCCAAAAAAGGGAAAGTTTTCAAGAAAAATCACATAGAGGGGCCTTTCTGATTAAAAGAGGCAGAGCCTCCTTTGCTGGTTTCTCCTTCACAGTCACCTCCTAGGCGCAGTTCACAGCAAGTTCACCCCATGCTTCAGCAGCTTCTGCTTGGCTTTGCTGGAGAGGCTGAAGGCACTATCCTGAGGGTTTGGGAAGCCGGAGCTCCGGGCTGCAGGTGCCAACTGCTGGAAATACGTCTCCTGGACAGGGTTGCAGCAGGCATACACAGCCGTGGAGGCGTTTCTGTTGGAGGAAGAAAGGAGACAACAAGCCGACGCTGCTGGTGCTGACCTCACAGAGACCACAGAGACCTCAGTAAGGTTCCTGTCACCGCGGCCCCAGGACGCCCAATGTGGTGTGTGCAGCTGTCAGGGCACGGGATTCTGTTTATTCAGCCGAGTTTCAGGCTTCAGTGCCAATACCATCTTTCCTTCCTTTCAACTTACTAGATGCTGGAAGAGTCCGTGGCGGGACCATCCACAGTGGCAGCAGCCACAGAGCCTGAAGTTGTAGGTACTGCTTAAGGAACCGTGGAGTGCCGGCTTTTTTGATACACTGGCAGCTATGCATATGCTCTGCATACAGTCTCTGCTTTGCCCTTCACGTAAGCTCCGCACTGGTGGTATGATCCCATTTTGCAGACAAGGAGCCTGAGGCTCAGAGTGAGTAGCCAGGGCCGCCCTGTCTCTCTCTGACAAGGAAATGGCAGTGTCCAAGGAAGAAGTCTAGTCTGCTCTCCACACTGGGGGCAGCTGGACTGAGGGGGAGTAGAGGGATGGAGTGGGATGTGACACAAAGTGACAGGAAGCCTCTGGGCACATAGAAGGAGGGAGGAGGGCACGACATAGAGGAAGAGCCACCTGGGAGGAGCCAACTCCAGGCCCAGGTAAACCCCCTGGTTTCTATTTCCTATGGCCTAAGTTTCCTCAAATCTAGTAAGAAAGGGTGGAGTCAGGTAAGGCTCCCCTTTTTCTATTTCCTGTGGGTTTCAGTTTCCCCCAAATCTAGTGAGAAAGGGTGGAGTGAGGGACTGCTAAGGCTCCCCTCACCCAAATCTCTCCTTCCCTGTAAGGAGGGAGGAAAACCCCACACTCTTCCAAACATCCACGTCTCCTGCACCCACTGGCCCCGCAGGACAAGCTCTTCTCACAGGCCTGCGGGAAGGCGCCGCGGCCAGGTGGTTATGAGCAGGGATCTGGAGTCACACACGCTCAGGTGCTGTTCCCAGTCCCATTACTTCCTGGTGTGTGTCCTGGCTGTTACTCAACATGTCTGAGGCCCAGCTTTTTCATCTGTACAATGGATATTGCAACCGTATATGCCCTCAGGGCAGTTTTTTTTTTTTTTTTTAAAAAAGAATGAGATTAAATGAGTGCTTAGCACATGGTGAGTGGTTAATAAATGGTAGCTGTTGTTTCTATTACTGTGATTAAAACAATCTCTCAACAAAGGCCTTGAGCTATGTATCTCCACCCCAAACCTCTCTCAGCTCCAAGGAAGGTGACAGACTGCAGGGCCACAAGGTGGTTGGTGGAGCAGATGCTGACATTTTACTTGTTTCCACCTCCCACAAAACAGACACACACACCCCCAACAGAGCCAGTTCCCAAACCAGTGACTGTACAGGCAAATCACCTCGGGGTTGCCAGCCTGGGGCCGCTGTGATTAAAGCCAGAGACGACACATTTCTGACAGGAAGATCTATTGAAATACTGGCTGGACACGGTGGCAGGCAGCAGGAACACCTGGAGCCCAAGTGTGGCAGGTGATGGCATCGGAACCATCCTCGTCACCCGCCCAGGCTCCCTGTGAGTCCAGCACCCACACCCCTCGCACTGGACCACACTGCCCCAACACTGAAACGTGTGTGGAAAGGTCATGCATGCGCTTAACAGTTGGAGAAAATGCTTCGAATCCTGGCCCTGCCACTTAAGAAGACCGTAAGCCTCGACAAGCTGCTTCTCCTATTTGTGCTTCAATTTCCTCAGCTGTTAAGTGAGGATGAAAAAATGCCCTTGACCAGATGGCCCCAAGGGCTACAGGACCAACACACACATGGCCAGCACCGCCCCTGACCTGCTAACTCGCTTTATTTCCTGTTACCAGTTGTCACCAAATTCTCAGGTCCCAGCCTCCTACGGCTTTTATAAAGTGATCTCTAAAGCCCAAACTCCCTTCCTGGTTTCACAAGAGAAGCAGGTAGAGAGAAAAAAACAAATTCGGTTGGTTAAATACTGTAAATTACAATAATCTTTAACAGATCTGTATTTCTCCTGGCATGGAGGTGTTCAAGCTATGCAATAATGTGAAAAAAGGCAACTGTACAATTGTACATTAGTCAGATCCTGTTTTCGAGAAGACTTAATTAAAATAAAAATACAATTAATTTATATGTGCAAAAAATAAAAGCCAAAAACCAATAAAACCTGGAGCAACATACACTGAACTGTAAAATGTGGTTATTTCTGGGTGTGTGATGGGGTGGAGGGAGGGGGGAAAGTGTTTTACTTGATAGATTTCCAAGCGTTCTGCATGACTGTATAATCAGCAATGTATTCTTTTTTTTTTTTTTTTTTTTTTTTTTTTTGAGACGCAGTCTCACTCTGTTACCCAGGCTGGTGTGCAGTGGCATGATCTTGGCTCACTGTAACTTCCGCCTCCTGGGTTCGAGTGATTCTCCTGCCTCAGCCTCCCAGGTAGCTGGGATTACAGGCACTCGCCACCATGCCCAGCTAATTGTTTTATTTTTAGTAGAGACAGGTTTCACCAGGTTGGCTAGGCTGGGCTCAAACTCCTGATCTCAGGTGATGCACCTGCCTCCCAAAGTGCTGGGACTACAGGTGTGAGCCACAGCGCCCTGCTATGTTCCTTTTCAATTAGAAAGACAACAATATTATTTCAACACTGTTTCCGGCAAGGAGATGGGAGCCACCTGGTAATGGATGGAGCTCTGTGATGGCGACGACCTCAGGCTCCTTCACTGCTGGGCCCCAGCTGTCTAGAGGAGGAAGGGAATCAGAAAGTCCATGGCACATGACTGCACGACAGTGGACGATGGCGGCAACAGGAGCAGACAAAGGAAGGCCTTAAGGAGAGTAACTAGAATGTTCTCCATCTACTTTGGAATAAGGCACTGCCTGGGTCCCGCAGGTGGTTCCCGTGAGCAGGACCCTGGAAAGCAGGTGGGGGAGTGACTCAGGGAGGCTCACCTGATGGTCATTTCATAAAGCGTGGGCAGCTGGGCAAACTCGCTATGCATCAGGCTGACGGCCTGGAGGAAGCGGCGATCCTGCGGGGTGGCCACCTGCGGCAGGTTTGCTTCCAGAAGAGGACACAGAGTTCTGAAGAGCAGACAGTTGCCCTCTGCCCTCCCACCCCATGAAGCCCACTGCTGAATATGAGGGCTGAGCACGGCAAGGCCACGTGGCTGCCCAGGACACAGACAAAGGCCTGGGAGTTTGGGCTTCTGTTGCCGCTGCCATGCGATGCAGCACCCAGTTTCTGCATGCGGATCTCCAAGTCTGGAGACAAACCTATCACAGATATGTGAACATGAACTTCTCTCAAAACACTGGGAGGCACCCAAAACGACACACGAGCAGAGAAGCCTCTTCCTGGTGAAGTCCACGCTCAGTGGGAGTGGGCTCCCAGTGAGGAGAGAACTGTGAATGCAGGACAGGCAACTCTGTGCACAGCCATGTCATCACGACACTGGGGCTCGAGTTCTCACCTCCCCCCGCCTCTAGAATCTGGCGTCCCCGCCGCCCCTGGCCCCTTGCCCGCTTCTTACCCATCAGCACACTCTGAATGCGGTCGTAATGTGTGAAGCTGTAGGTGCTGCTCGTGGATGCTGCCTCATCCCTGGGCAGCGTCTCTTTCAGGTGGACTTCCAGCCCGTTCAGCGATGCCAGGCTGCTGTGGTACTGCAAAGGAGCCAGGAGGGGGTCACGGGCTGGTACGGCCGACCTCAGCAAACTTTCTGAGGGCTGCTTAACCACAGACTTAGTTAAAAATCGTCCTCCAGCCAGACCTGGTGACTCACACCTGGAATCCCAGTGCTTTGACAGACTGAGGCGGGAGGATCATGTGAGCCAGGAGTTCAAGGCTGCAGTGAGCCAAGATTGAACCACCACACTCCAGCCTGGGTGACAGAGTGACACTCTGTCTCAAAAAAAAAAAAAAAAAAAAGAAATATCTTACTGCCAACTTAATCCAGTAAAATGGACTCTCACCAACATTTCTATTTCTTTCACCCTTATGTTTTAATGTTTAATGTTTTAAAATTAATGATTAGGCCGGGCGCGGTGGCTCAAGCCTGTAATCCCAGCACTTTGGGAGGCCGAGGCGGGTGGATCACGAGGTCGAGAGAGCGAGACCATCCTGGTCAACATGGTGAAACCCCGTCTCTACTAAAAGTACAAAAATTAGCTGGGCATGGTGGCACGTGCCTGTAATCCCAGCTACTCAGGAGGCTGAGGCAGGAGAATTGCCTGAACCCAGGAGGCGGAGGTTGCGGTGAGCCGAGATCGCGCCATTGCACTCCAGCCTGGGTAACAAGAGCGAAACTCCATCTCAAAAAAAATAAAAATAAAAATAAAAATAAAATAAAATAAAATAAAATAAAATTAATGATTATATTGTAGGAGATTTCGAAAAGAGACGAGCAAAAAAATAAACAAGAAAAATCACCCATCATCTCACCATCCAGTAACAGCCATTGTTACCACTGTGATGTATCTTATTTTAACTGTGGCTTTCCTGCCCAGGCTGTACGATCTAACAGTACAAACAGCCTGGGACCACCCCTGTGTTTCTCACTGGCCCTGGGTAGAGAAGTGCCCCACTGGATGTCACACGGTAACTTCTCTCTGCTACATCTAGCACGGTCCTGGCTTTCTTGGAAGGACTGAGAAGTGTCCAACAGCTTTCTGCACTTGATGGTTCAGAGGAGGAATGCCGCTGAGAACCGCTGTCAAGGAGGGAGGTTCAAGCACGTGTATTTTCACAAACCTCCAAGGAGATAAAGTTTAAGTACAATTGAAAACACCGGACTCCAGGGTTTTCATGTAACTTTTTCTTTTGGAAAATAAAAAGATCAAATCATAATAAGGACTGATAGTAGCTTTTTAACCTAACAACAGCATGGACTGCTTTTCTCATCTTTAAATATTCCATCACAGAGTTCTTTGATGGCTGGGTGGCGTTCTTCAAGCTTCACTGAGGGCTTGACACGGTATGTCAGGCCTGTTGTAATTGGCCTGGTCTGAAACGGGGTTTCCTGGGCCTGCTTCTGCCACAACAAAGAAGGCCACTGTCCCCAAGCATGTGCAGTTCCCAGGCAAAAACATCCCCAGTTCAGCCTCTTTTTAGTCAAATGACCAGGAGCAAGTTACCCAATTTTCTGTGCCTCATTTTTCTGTTCATCTGCACAATGGGACCAGTACAGGACCGCTGAGTGACGTGAATGAAATAACACACCCAAAAGTCCTTTGTGAACTCTGAAGTGCTACCCTGAGGCAGAGCCTTTCTACAGAGTCAAGGAAATGAAAATAACCGTATAAAAGAAACGGCACCTCTTTAGAGATGACAGAAAATGGGTGGACTATTTTTCAAAAGCTATGTAAGAAAAGTAAGTGCACAGGGAAGTACAGAGACACAAACAGAACGCTTCTGAAGCAAATGTCACGGAGCTCACATGTTATTTTGGGAGTATACTGGTGTTAAATCAGTTTTCCTGTATGAATGTCTCAGAAATGATATTTCCAGTCCATAGGTGTGACATACAAAGTTATTTTCTGTGCACTCACTTTTGTATCCTCAGTGCTTAGTAGAGTGCCTGACTCCTAGTAGGTGCTCAATAAATGTATCCACTTAAATAATGAATAAAGGAACACATCCAAAGCCAAGCACCGCCAACTTATGAGCTTTTTGGTTTAAATCAAGGGTGCAGAGTCAAGTAAAAAGATATGTGCTCAGGAAAGACAAGCAAGATATCTCATGTTCAGATCCCTGAGAGAGCCTGACCAACACTGAGTTTAGCACTGAACCTCCTATTTGAACAGATGCGTGTGCGTGTGCAGGCACTGACACGCGCATGGGCACACAGAAGCATTCACCGTGAGGTCAAGCCACAGCCTCACAGAAAGTTTTTGAACCTCAAGAGCTGGTGTCCCCAAACTAAGGCCCGTGGGCCGCATGCGGCCCCCTGAGGCCATTTATCCGGCCCCCCGCCGCACTTCAGGAAGGGGCACCTCTTTCATGTGAGAGGAGCACAGTATATGGCGGCCCTCCAACGGTCTGAGGGACAGTGAACTGGTCCCCTGTGTAAAAAGTTTGGGGACGCCCGCTCAAGAGCCTAGTCACAGTCACCCCTTCCATGCTGAGCTGGTGTCCAGAGGAAGAAACAATAGGAACAGAGATTGGGCCATGTCAAAACCTGTTTCCCCACAGGCATTGAGCTCTGCTTCCAGAATATTCTGCCTAACTTGCACTCAAGATGGGATCACTTTTAACCATAAAAACACAGTTAATCACAATAGGCTGTGTCAGATGACATGGATAATCTTTTACTGACAACCAAATGCTCTCCCATAGACGGGGGGTCAGCAGACTCTAGTCCAGAAATTAAATCCAGCCTGTTACCTGTCTTTGTACAGCCTGAGGCCTAAGAATGGTTTTTATATCTTTTACGTGGTTGGGGAAAAAAGTCAAAAGAATAATTGTAATATGTTCAAATCACATAGAGTTCCAATTCCATGTCCATAAATAATTACTGGAATACAGCCATACCATTCGGTTATATACTGCCTATGGCTGTTTCTGTACTAAAACAGCAGAGCTGGAAAGTTGTGCAAAGCTGACAATACCAGCCCCAGTATACAGTGCTGCATAATGTGACCCCCGGGGACACGGAGCTGAGGCTAATTCCTGTGTCCTCTGACTTCCAGTGCACATTAAAGCAAATGGCACACATGTCAGTGCGTGACACAGCATGCAGAAGGGGCGCTGTGTAGAACATGCGCTCACTTAGAGGTACTGGTTTCCTAGTTGGGGGAAGGTGTTTTTTCATAAAATGTTTTATGGCAACAGTCTCAAGCTAACTTCAAGCCTCGTCTGCTGTACATAGATGCTCAATGTCCTATTGTACTGATAAATAATTAATACGGTCACCGTCTTTGAAGGTCAATGAGATTATTTTGGGTTTTGGGTAACGGACTATCGTAGCTCTATGCTGCCCCCTGGTGTGAGCCTATTCCGCTCCCTCTGAAAGAACTCCAGCCCCAACCCCAACCCTCCTGGCTGCTCCACCCAAGGCTCCTTCCACCATTTGGTTTTTCTAGACAATAGCAGAGGGGCTGCAGGGAAATCAGGTCAAGAATTTTCAAAGCTAGCCTAGAACAGAAAGGCAATCAAATTATCTCTCCATATCATAAAAGAGAAATCCTTTGGGTCTGATTAACAAACCCATTCTCAAACCATTGGGCTAATCAAAGTTAGTCGCTCCCTACTCTCTTTAGAAATGATTTGCTTTGGCCGGGCGCGGTGGCTCAAGCCTGTAATCCCAGCACTTTGGGAGGCCGAGGCGGGTGGATCATGAGGTCGAGAGATCGAGACCATCCTGGTCAACATGGTGAAACCCCGTCTCTACTAAAAAATACAAAAAATTAGCTGGGCGTGGTGGCGCGTGCCTGTAATCCCAGCTACTCAGGAGGCTGAGGCAGGAGAATTGCCTGAACCCAGGAGGCGGAGGTTGCGGTGAGCCGAGATCGCGCCATTGCACTCCAGCCTGGGTAACAAGAGCGAAACTCCGTCTCAAAAAAACAAAACAAAAGAAATGATTCGCTTTTCTTCTTCCATAAAACTGGTCTATTTTCTAGGGCCTAGCCAGCACCAAACCCTGCTTCCCATGGAAGCCCCCGGAGGCTGATGTCACAACGGCATGGATGGACCCTGACAAAGTCGGGGAAATGACCACAGATCAAGAGCCGCAGGAGGCAGGACACTGGCCCCCTTTCTTCATCCTCCCAGCTACCACAGCAAGGGCAGGGCGGTGAGGGAACAGAGAGGCTGGGATGCGGGAACCAGAAAGCAGCAAGAACTCTGAACCTGCCACTTGCAAGAGGTCTTTTCCTCTCAATGAGGCTGTCTTCTTACTGGTAAAATGGGGGTTGCAATGCCTACCTCCCAGAACTGTTCTAAGGCTCGGCTAAAATAAGAGATGCAAAATATTGTCGTGCAGAATAAGAGACGCAGTGTTGTTAGTGCAGAATACATCTCCTCAAAGAGCAGCCTGGGCCACTTTTTCCTTTTTGTGGGGAAGGTAAGAAGAAAGGCATTATATCTACTTTATTGCATGCAAAAACACTGGGCCCTTCAAAATGACATTTCTAAGGCTCTACACTGTGCATAACAGACCACGAACACCAGGACATCGGCAGGGGGATGAGGCGTGTAACACTGCAGCCAGAACTCCGAGTTGTTCGAAGAAGGAGGTGGACAGTCACTCACAGCTATGGTGAATGGAGATACGGGAAGCCAACCAGCCGTAACCTGGTGATCTGGGGTCTGTGGAAAGGGGACCGAGAAGGCTGACAGCTCCAGAGCGCAGTCTCTTGCTAGGAGCTCTGTGCCAAGGAGGCTGCCCTGCAGTCTTCTCTCTTCTTCTGTGCTCCGAGGTGCCTAGCTCATTTGTGGAGGGTCACAAGCCCTGCATGCCAGCAAGATCAGCTTAGAATAATATACGTTTAAGAATAAAAACAAGGTAAAGCCCCAAGACACCATTTGCCCTGCAGCAATTTCAACCTGCTGTTCTTGCCGCTGCCACTTTCCCTGCCTACTAAAGCAAGGCTGTTACTATAGCAACTGAATCTCCAGCGTGGGCCCCGCGGAAGGTCAGTGTACCACTCTAAGCCTCTAAGCGGGGAAGGGGCTGGAATGGTTTAAGAGCCCTCCAGCACCAGTTAGGATGTCAAACATCCCAGCCTTCTAGGAAGGCACTTCAGACCAGGTACGATGCTGGGGCTATGGAGGGAAACACAGAGTTTCCAGGGAACTCCCAAGCCAGGCTGTGACACACTGCAGAGGAGTTCCCAGACGACACGGAACCTAGAGCTGCCCAGGCTATGAAATGAGGCCGTGAGCGGGGGCGGCACAACAGTGACCGTGCATGTGTGTGCTGTCTTTGCCTGCACTATCTCACTGCATCTGGAACAGGAGGGTCTAGCCCCATCCCTATGAGACTGAGGAGTTATCAGTGGCTCAGGGGGACGAAGACTTGTGGGCAAGTTCACACAGCTAGAGGACAAGAGCCAGGATTCCCTCTCAGGCCTTCCCTGCTTCCGAGGCCTGAGCTCCGCAAAACTAGAAAGGAGCAAGCCAACACTTGTTGGATGCCAATGCACCACCCATTCTATGCACTTGACTCTCTCTTATCCCTACAAAAACCCATGGAGGCAGGTACTACCCCCATCGCCTAAACAAGAACATTTCACCCAGGGTCACATAGCTGAGGGCTCAGCCTTTATGCCTTTCCCTGGGTGTCAGCACAGCGGTATGAGAGACGCACAGGAGATGAGCAGAGGCCACAGAGGGGCAGGGGAAGGTCTGTGGACACTCACCACTTCCTCTATGGCTGCGCTGTCTCCCAGCAGCAGCTCCTCGGCCAGCAGGGTCAGCACCAGCCCTTTCACGCAGTGAGTATAGAGGTTCATCCTCACGAGCCCCATGCAGGACTCTGCTGGGGTCAGCTTGGAGTTGATTTCATCTGCAGAGGGGCCAGCACCCTGACAGTCTGCTGAGCCTGAACTACATTCCAGACCGGGGGCTGCGTGGCTTTCACAAACCCCAGCAACATACTGATCCATGCTTTGTTCCTCCGTGGGAAGCTTGTTCTCTCTCTGTCCTGGATCTAAGAGAGGCAATGAAAAGGGTCTGCAGGTCCTTCTGGGGAGAGGGTCTGCTCTGGGAATGGGGGCGTGGTTGCTGCTGTGGCCAGAATGGTCTTCGAATAGCTCTTGGGCTCCATGCTGGGTGAGCATCTCAGGAGCAGAGGCACAGCGCATGCTGCTGACAGCTGTGTCCTCAGGCGGCACGGGCTCCATGTTGCCGGAGGCGCTGAGCGATGCCTTGTAGTAAGGAGCACTGCCATCTGGGACATGCACATGTGGGAAGGTGAAATGACCTGGGTACATTCCCACTTCCTGAGCCTCTGGAATGTGGATTTCAGACAAGTCAAGTTCCCCTTGGATAAAGACTAGTTCCTTCCCCAGGGAGCAGCTGAGGCCAAGACGCTTGTGCCTGGCCGTGTTGCGCAGTCCTGCGGGCCCGATGCTCTCCAAACCATGGCCAGGCAAGCATCCGTTCTGCCTCCTGCCACCTGGACAAGCGTCCTCAGGGGATGTGGGCTCCGGGGTGGTCCAGGCCATGGATTCTACGTGGCCAGTGGCGTCTTCCTGCAGGGCAGATGTGCTCCCACCCTTTGGACGGTGCTGGGCTGAACCATCCCCGAGTCCTGCTGGAGACCTGGCAGACAGGAGAGACGTGAGGAAGGGGCGCGTCGGCAGATCGCAGGGCAGGCGCCCTTCCCCAGCAGGGACTAAGGCACGGGCATCAGTGACAAGGCGGGGCCTGAGGCACAGAGACTAAGAGGCCACCAGCGTTAAATCGCAGGAGCAAAAATGCAGCAACATCTGGTCCTCAGGACTTCACGGAGTGACACCAGGCTCACCCACTGAAAACGGCAGAGCCCACTGAGTAAGAATGACCCACATGTGGAAGGTCTCTTGTGCATCAGGCCCGATACTAGGTGCTGTACATACACTATTTTCAAGTGTCACAATGAACTCATGAAAGAGATACTACCGTGTCTGCTTTTCAGATGAAAAAAACTAAGGCTCAGGCAGGGAATGGACTTGCGCAAGGTCCCATAGCTGGTTAAGTAAGAGATCTGAGATGTGAAACCCAATGTCACCTCACTATGCCACTCTGTTTCTTAACGAACTCAAAACCCAGATGTTCTCTTACAAGACAGGGCATGGGGGAGATGGAATTAAGGAAGGATCGGAGGTACCAGAGGTTTGTTTTAACCAGTCCTGTGATGGGGCTCCTCAGGTTTGGCGCCAGGTGAACCCTCTGTGCACTCCCGTACCTTGTGATCTGTTCCACCGGGAACTCATGGAGAATCATGGCTTCCTCTTGGGTCACAAAAACAGGGATAATCTGGACATTTGGGGGTAATGCCACGCCTGGAATTGCAAAGCAACATGAACAGGGCTTTCCCCAAAACCAGAGAGGGCAGAGGGGCAATAACTGCTCTCGGGTGATACATCCAACCCCACTCCTGCTCGGAGAAGCGTGCTGGGACTATCTGAGCCCAGGATAAGAGCTGCCAAACTGCAGCTCCAACTCCTGCGCCCAATCAGAAGAGTCTCTGCGGGCAACATGACTTCCCGCAGGAGAAGGAAGACGCTCGGTAGAGAAAGGTTGAAAAGCACTTTTAAAAGAAGATACAAGCTAAGAAAGGGATCTGCTCCAACTTAGGCTTCAGAATAAATCAAAATTCATCTCTGCTTGAGGGAGCCTCCACACCCTGCGAAAGGCCTTTCTGGCAGTCGCCATCATCGTCCCCTCTCCCCATCACCACACCCTGGCACTTGACCGAGCAGTCTCACAATATGAAGTTAAGATGGATCTGAAAGCAGGGATTTGACAGGCCTGCCTGAAATCATAGCATTACAATCAGGGTTTGAGTGGGTAACTCGATTCCTGAAGCTCTATTACATCCTTTTTCCTAATCTGATGAGCAGAGAAAATTAAACATGTAGACGGCTGGGCCCTTCGCATAACTTGTACAGGGACAGGTGGCATAAAAGACCACCCTACTCAAGAGGCAGCCAGGCAGGCACCTCACCACTTACCATGTTCCTGTGGGGCATCCCCTCCCATAGAGAGTCTCTGAAAACAAACACACACAGAAGTTGGCACTGGGCACCACATTCTCCTCTTGACCTAACCATCAGGAATTTGCTGTGCCATCTGTTCATAAAACTTAGCCAGGCCCAGAAAGCTTGTCCCGACCACATGCTAAGAGCTAAGCAGATGGAACAGAAGCTCCCCCAAGCTGCTGGCTCCCACTCTGGCTGGGATGAGGCAAGAACCTGTACCCACACAGGCTGTAAGGCAGCAGCTCCGCCCAAACGCACGTCACACTCTACATTCTGATTTTCTCAGTCTCTCCCTTCTGGTAATAAAATTGAGGATTCTTGTTCTCTTTTACACCTTTGGGGAACTCGTATTCCAGAATACAGTCACATCTGCCACAGCCCCTGATGTAGAATTCACATCAATTTCATTATAATAAAAATGTCAAAGTACTCTGACTCTCAGTAGGAAGGATCTGACCTAACAAAATGGGATACCAGATCTTTCGTTTGTTCTGGTTCACAATCAAGGCCTGAAACCTGATCATTTTCTCAAAAATGAAAACATCTCTCATCTCAATCTGAGGGCTCCAAATGAACCCACCCAAACAAAACAAAAACCAAATAAGAACTGCTCTTCTAGCCAAAATAACTTTCGATCTTAGAATGACACAGTGTTCTTTTTTGGTGATTTTTTTTAAAAAAAATCGGGTTTTAGATTACTAAACCTAACCTTAGTTTACTGTAGACAAAGCATTGAAAAAAAATCACATACAATCCCTCACTCTCAAGCTAGTACTATTAACATTGGGTATTTTTTTCCTTAAGCCTATGTATTTTTTATACTTTTGAAACCACACTATATAAAATTCCATATTTCTTCTTAAAACAGTAACATGCAATTCCTGACATTAAAACATCTTTGGGGCTGGGCGAGGTGGCTCACATCTGTAAACCCAGCACTTTGGGAGGCTGAGGTGGGTGGATCATTTGAAGTCAGGAGTTCAAGATCAGCCTGACCAACATAGTGAAACCCCGTCTCTATACTTTTTAAAAATACAAAAATTAGGCCAGCATGGTAGCATATGCCTATAGTCCCAACTACTCGGGAGGCCGAGACAGCAGAATTGCTTGAACCTGGGAGGCAGAGGATGCAGTGAGCTGAGATCCTGCCACAGCCCTCCAGCCTGGGTAACAGAGCGAGACTGCATCTCAAAAAAAAAAAAAAAAAAAAAAAGTTGGCCATTTTAAATGGCAGATTAAAATTGTATGAAGGTTTAAATGATATAAGTAAATTAATCATTTAACTACCTTAGACCAGTAATTAGTAAATTTTCTTTGTAAAAGATAAGACAGTAAATATTTTTGGCTTTGCAGGACATGTGGTCTCTGTCCCACCTACTCAACTCTGCTGATAGAGCTCAAAAGCAGCCAAAGAAAACTTTATTTGTAAGCAGGTGGACCACAGGCCATAGTTTGCCAACTCCTGCCTTTAGCGTTCAAGTTTTGTCTGATTTTTCACTTTCATAAAGCTTGTTGTGATCAACTTTTGAGTATAAGTCTTTTTCAGCAGTTAGATTATTTCCTTAAGATATAGTCCTAGAAATCAAATTATTAGGAAAAAATAAAGGGCATCCTTAATGCTATCTTATCTAACTGTTTCCCAGAAGGGCTGCCCAAACTGACATCTACAGCAACAGTGGATGAGGAGGCTGAACAGAGCCCCACCAGCACTTTACACGCCTGCTCATCTAATAAGCGTAAGAAGAGAGCCTCATAATACACTGGAAGCCACAGCTTCATACACAAAAGAAAAAAGGACTGGAAGAAAATATGCCAGATGCTAGCAGCGGTTATCCCTGCACACGTCAATGACGGGCAATTTTATTCTCAATGAGCATCCATGACTTTTTCAATATAAAAACAAATAAATATAAATTGAAAGTATTTTAAAAGAGAAGAGGTGTTTGTTTTGTTTTGTTTTGTTTTGAGACAGAGTCTCACTCTTGTTGCCCAGGCCGGAGTGCAGTGGCGCGATCTTGGCTTACCTCAACCTCCACCTCCTTGGTTCAAGTGATTCTCCTGCCTCAGCCTCCTGAGTACATAGGATTACAGATGCCCACCACCATGCCTGGCGAATTTTTGTATTTTTAATAGAGATGCGTTTTCATCCTGTTGGCCAGGCTGGTCTTGAACTCCTGATGTCAAGTGATCCACCTGCCTCAGCGTCCCAAAGTGCTGGGACTGCAGGCGTGAGCCACCGTGCCTGGCCCCCTAAATTTTTCTAAAGACACATCCTTTACAGTCTGTCTCCGAAAAGTCTAGTATCTCTGACATAAAGAGATATCAGATTCTCATGGGAAGTTGAATTCTCACAGATTTCCTTGGTTTGAAGAAAAACCAACTATCCAAGCCTAGCTCGTGGAAGAAAACATTTTCTCTCAGCCTCGCCAATGGCTTCACTCTTGAGGAGAATGCCACCGGGGGACCTGGGGTCCCGACAAGACCAAGTAAAACACCTGTCCCACGGCCTCTGCTCCTGATCCCTCCAGCCTCAGGTTCAGTGACGGCTGCTCTGGGGGAGGCCGTCCAGCCAGGCAGGTGGACTTTACGATACCTGCTCCGGAGGTGCTGTTCTGTGAAGCAGGGCCTTGGCGGTGAGGGACGGCGGGAGCTGGGTGCTGACAACCCTAGGAGATCGCACACAGAACAAGAACACCGTGAGAAGAAATACACCAGGCCACTAACAGTCCGTGTGGATGAGGATCCTGGGGACGTGGCTGGTGGGAGTTTCACTAGTAAAACCCTTACAGAGGGCGCTCTGGCAGTTCCTAACAACATTTAAAATAACCGAACCCTTTGACTCAGCTTGTACCAAGCTGTATGCATTAGAATATTCATTACAGGGAGAATGGTTAAAAACAATTAAAAAAATGAGTCAACAGCCAAAATGTTCATCAACAAGAGAGTAGTTCAAGCATAACACAGCCAGAATACCAAAAAGCGTGCAGCCCTCGTAAGAATGAGCTGCACCAGTATGAGCTGGTAAAGAAATCTTCACTGTAAGCATCAGTTGAGAAACCATGTGATCCTATTTAAGGAGACAGCAAAAATAAACAAAATCAGTATATGCATATATGTCCTAGTGGGCAAAAGCACACAGAAAGAGCAGGATGCCCAGCACACTGCCAATGGTGAGGAAAGGTTAAGAGGGAGAGGCTGGGCACAGTGGCTCACTCCTGTAATCACAGCACTTTAGGAGACTGAGGTGGGAGAAGAACTTGAGCTCAGGAGCTTGAGACCTCCGTGCGCAACACAGTGCGACCTCATCTCTACAAAAAAAAAAAAAAAAAAAAAAATCAAAAAATCAACCAACTCTGGTAGCATGTGGTTGTTGTCCCAGCTACATGGGAGGCTGAGGTGGGAGGATCGCTTCAGTCCAAGAGGTTTATGCCACTGCACTACAGCCTGGGCAACTGAGCAAAACCGTGTCTCAAAAAAAAAAAAAAAAGAAAGAAAGAAAGAAAGAAAGAAAGAAGGGGAGCTTTTAAACTGTGCTGTGTGTGTTCCTCTGTTGGTTGATTTGGTTACGGTGAAAATGTGTTCATGTATTAGCTGTATAACTTAAATACAGTGCAGTGGCTCATGCCTACAATCCAATCACTTTGGGAAGCTGAGGACTGCTTGAAGCCAGGTATTTGAGACCAGCCTGGGCAACACAGCAAGACCCTGTCCCTACAAAAAAGAAAAAAATCATATATTTAAGAAATGCAAAATGAGAAGAGGGAACAAAACTATTCTCTTTGGTGGGTATGTCACTGATGAGCTTGGAAGCCCCCCAGCTGATTCAGAACCACCCGAGAAGCAGGGGCCAGGAGGGAGAGCGCAGCGCGCACCAGGGTTTGTGCTCAGTCCTTCCGCACACCCCACCCGAGAAGCAGGGGCCAGGAGGGAGAGCACAGAGCGCACCAGGGTTTGTGCTCGGTCCTTCCGCACACCCCACCCGAGAAGCAGGGGCCAGGAGGGAGAGCGCAGAGCGCACCAGGGTTTGTGCTCGGTTCTTCCGCACCTGTCATCTCCTCACATCCTCCCAGAAGAGAAAACTGAGGCTAAGCAACTCGCTCAAGGCCACCGGGCTGGCAAAAGAGAAGGCAGGATTTAGAGCTCAGCCTGTCTGGCCCAAGGGCCCCTGCAAGAGCCTGAGTGCTTCTCCAGTCGCACAGCAGTCGCCTGCTCCTTGGGAAGCTCTGGCCACAGCACGATGGCCCTGCCTGCCCTGGGCTGTGAGAGCAAGCCCGCCATGAAGAGAGAGGCCTGAGGTGACCTGGAGTGGCTCTTAGGCCACTCAGACTCACAAAGAGGCCCTCCAACTACATGAAGTACAGTGAATTATCAGAGGCCAACCAAGACACAGACCCAGCCAAGATGCTGGAAGGCAGCTTGGTAAGGGCCGGTAAGGCTGCTCTGCAGCGCTGAGCTGAAGCAAGCACAGCAGAGCCTCTGAGCAGCAGGAGGAGGGCCGCGGCAGGCCCCTTCCAGCCTCTTGACTTCACAGTGCTGGCTGCTGGCAACACTGTGCACTCTGCATTCGCATTTTGCAGACTGGTAACCATTCCAGCAGGCCCCAGATTGAGAATTACAGAATTCCTTGTATATTCTTAACTCTTTTCTGAATACAACTATTTCCAATTTCTCAGTTTTGCTCAAAGACAGGTACATACCTGTCTCTCTAAACTAAGTCAAATCTAAACTACTTGATATTTGCCAAACCAGCTCACTTGGAAATGGCCAGAGACGGAGTTCCCCACCACAATCTGGGATTGGCTGATGGTCAGTTCTGCAGCAGGGAAATGGAGCTGGGGGCAGGGGGTCTGGAGTTACTCACAGTCCTTTATAGAGGATGCAGCCAGCGAGAATGTGAGGTGAGCGCTGGCAGGTCTGAAGAATGCGGGCTGCCTTCAGCAACAACAGGGGCTCCACCTGTGCAGGGCAAGAGGCATCATGCCCACCCATCAGCATGCTCACAATCAGCAAGGGAGAAAAGGGGACAGGGTTGTAAAGAACAAGTGGACGGGGGTAACTCAAAGCCTGGAAAAGGAGAATACGTCACACAGTAAAAGCTGTGTCATGGCTTGGGGCTGTTCTACCTCTCTATACCCACAACTGCTGACACCACTAAATTCTTAGAACAAGGAGGCCTGTCCAGAAGCTAGAAGGTGCAGCAAGTACGGCATATGGCTATTCAAAGGCGTCAGAGTAGATGGCCTGGGAGACCCTGACTATCTACCCTGACAGTGCTAAGACCTGACGGCAGGAGAAGAGAAGGGCATATCCTATAAATACAATGTCATGGCACCAGGTGAAATCTACCTACCCTATCCACCACCTTCCCTCTGAAGCACAATCCCCATGGTGATACAGGTAGTTTGATGTCTCACCAGCCTCCGTGACTCTATTCCATGACATAAAATGAAAACATCGTGCTCTTTCACTCGAGGAAATATGCCTCAGTTCCATATTCCTTGTATGGAATAGCCTAGAAGTTCCTAAAAATACAACAAAAGCATCTGGACCTGGTCAGGAAGAGCCAGCAATAACCGGCAGCCTCTTCCGATTTCCACCTGCCAGCTAGAACCAGCAGGTATCCACTGGCTGCTAGAACTCCCTGTTAATGGAGTCTCCAGAGCTGCTGACACATTAAGAAGTTTATTCTTCATAGCCTCAAGACGGCCCTGTCCCAGCCAGCCATTCTATAAAGCTTTAGGGCCAGCTACAGGAAGTTTTCCAGACTAGAGCAGGGAAAACCCTTCCCCACGTCTGGTGAGGTCGCACTCTGTGAAGGCTGAGTCATAGTGCCAGACTCTGTTATAGGGACACTATTTACTACGGCAGTGAGACACAGAAGAGGACTGTGCGTCAGGGCTCAGGTAGCTGGATTTTTTTTTTTTTTTTTTCTTGAGACAGAGGCTGGCTCACTCTGTTGCCCAGGCCGGAGTGCAATGGTGAGATCTCAGCTCACTGCAACCTCCGCCTCCCTGCTTCAAGTGATTCTCCTGCCTCAGCCTCCCAAGTGGCTGGGATTACAGGTGTGAGCCACTACACCTGGCTAATTTTTCTATTTTTAGTAGAGATGGGGTTTTGCCATGTTGGCCAGGTTGGTCTCAAACTCCTGACCTCAGATGATCCACCTGCCTCGGCCTCCCAAAGTGCTGGGATTACAGGCGTGAGCCACCATACCCGGCTGTAGGTAGCTGGCTCTTGATGGGGCAGCACAGGTGGTCAGGCCAGCCACACAAGCAGCCTAGGTCCCACTGCGTGCCAACTGCCAATGGAGCAGCTCAACGGTTCCCGACCACGCTCTCTCAAAGTAAGCCACCTTGTTTTTGAAATGTTCACGCTAGGCATTTCTGAACCTCAGAATAACTAGAGCACATGACATGAATATCAAGAGAGAAGGCCTTCAGATCACTGACTGCGATACTTCCGAGGCATGAGCAACATAATAATTCCCTTTACTGAGGATTTACTTGGCGTCATTTGAGGTGTTGCTTCATTTGACCATCAAAACAGTTCTAGAAGGCAGGTACGCTGACACCGTTCTCTGGATAACGGAAATGGGGCTGAGAGGTGACCTGCTGTGTCATGGCCCTGCCTGAGAAGTGACATTCTCTTCACTTTTCAAGATAGAGTTCACTTCAGGGATATTAAAAAAGTATCCAGAAGCCCTAGTCTTACATATAAAATGAGTAAAGAGGATGAAAATGTTACTTTGGTTTTGTCCAAGTTCCAGAGGGAATTGAAAATCTTATGCAGATCACTGGTGTTTTTCAGAATTTGTTCGATGAAGGTGTCCCACTCCGTGCTCAGTTCTTCCCGAGAACAGTTCTAAAATAGAAAGAGCCTCAGGTCAACATCTGAGATTTGGAGGGACAGACTCTTTGGCCAGAGTCCCAATTACTTCCAAAATGGTTCCTCACATAGGAAACTGACTGGAAGGGAGGACCTGTTTGAAACCTAGCCTATCAAGGATCCAGGGCGTCTGCCGGGTAAGGGTGGCAAGCAGGGCCTGCACTTTCTAAACATCCCAGGGAGGAGAGGGGGACCAACATTTGGAATAAACGTGACCTATGCCACTAGGCACAAAGGCACATGAGGGGGCTCCGAGAGCCCCCGACCTTGTCCCTGGACATAGTGTGTTTATATGAAGTATAACAGACCCCAGAGTAAGTGCTGGCAATCTCAGTTTTTATAAAAAGGCCCAATGTAAGACTCCGCAACCCCATATTCATACCTCATAAGCCAGGGAAACAGGTCCATTGTAAAAGTTAAAGAATCCAATTAGCTGATCCAGAAACCGTTTGCAGCTGACATCTGGGAGCTCCACAGCACAGCCCAGCACCTGTAAGGAGAGAAACCAGGAAGACAAGCATTTTCCTTTTCTTTTGAGTCGAAGCCCAGAATCCTGTCCTGGGCTCTCCATGTCCTGACGTGACTGGCCCACCCAAATGGATCTTCTATTTTCCCTGAGTCCACACCCTCCATTCTGGCGAGTTAATCTCCATGGACAAGTAAGTTTTGTACCTCAACTCACGTTGCCCAGTCCCAAATGTCCTCCTTACTGTTCATTTCCCCAGGGCTTACTCACAACCTGCAGTGCCCGCAACAGATTTCGGTATCTCCATGAGGTCCGTTGTGCTAACTCAAGCCAATAATGCTGACCTCTTTTCTGACCCTGTGCTGCTAGAACTGTTATTTGGACAGTGTGTATTTAATCTGGATTCCATTACAAACCATGGACAAGGACTCAGATTCCTTCATGAATGGCCCTCGTGCCTCTCGAGCTAGATGAAGTGCTTTAAGAGCCAGTACTGACTGCAATCTTCCCAGTCATAGATCTCCAAAATGCTGAGTGTAGTGCTTCGTTCTACAGAAGTTAAATACTCGCTGAGTTAGAAGGTAATCTGGTCACATGTTTAAAGAGCCTGAAAAGGTTCCTATTACTTGATGTAGTCATTCTACCTCTAGGGATCTGTCCTGAGGAAATCATCAGAAATTTAAACGAATAAACCCCGACAGAAAACAAATAAATACAAATGCCCTCTGAATGTAAGCTACAGTTAGCACATGGATCTTTGCTTTGTTCCCAGATGGAATCCAAGAGCTTACAAGAGGCTGGCATGTCAGAAGCGCTCACTTCTTCCCCAATTGATAAAAAGACTGAATGTAATTCCAATCATGATCCCACCAGCTTTTCTTCAGAAACCGACAGACTGATTCTACAATGGAAACGCAAAGGACGTGAAATAGACGAAGCTACCTTGAAAAAATAAGGTTGGAGGAATTACACTATCTGGTTTCAAGACTTACAGAAATCAAGACAGTGTGGTACTCCAAACAGATCTGTGGAAAAGCCTGAGAGAGTACAGAAAAAGACCCATACTTAAATGGTCATCTTATCTTTGGCAAAGGAGCCAAAGGAATCCAATAGGGAAAGGAAAGTGTTTTCAGCAATGATGCTGGAAGAACTGGTTATCCAGATGAGGTAAAAAAAAAAAAAAAAAAAAAAAGATCCTTGAGCTCTACTCACACCATTCACAAGTATTAACCCAAAGTGGATTACAGATCTAAATGTAAAAGCCAAAACTGTAAAATTCTTACAGAAATAAAAAAGGGAGACTATTTCCTCCAATGGAGTAGGCAGTGGTTTTTTAGGCAAGACACAGAAAGCAATAACCATAAAAAGATAAAATTGATAAGTTAGACTTCATTAAAATGAAAATTCCTGCTCATCAAAAAACACCAAGAAAATTCATAGGCATGCCACAAACTGGGAGAAATTATTTTGAAAATATGTATCTGACAAAGAACTGCTATTTCGATTATAAATAGAACCACAAAACTCAATTTTTTAAAAAAAAACCCAATTTAAAAAATGGGCAAGGGTTTGAATGGATACTTCACAGAGGAAGTTATACGAGTAGTCATTAAGCACACAAAAAGGCCTCAATATCATTCATCATTAGGGAAGTGAAGATTAAAACCACAATGACATACCACTGCACATCCAGAAGAATGGTTAAAATGGACAGACTGCCAATCTCAACGCTGACGAGGATGTGGAGTGACTGGAATTTTCACATTGTTGGTAGGAATGGTCTAACAGTTTCTTATAAAATCCAACACACACTTACTCTATGACCCAGCAATTCCAGGAGACTGGCTATTTACCCAGGAGAAATGAAAACACATGTCCACCAAAATACTTGTATAGGAATGTTCCTAGAAGACTTATCTTTATGTCCCCAACTGGACGCCGTTCGAATGTCCAGCGAAAGAAAAACACACTGTGATATATTCAGATAACAGAATACTATTTGATAACAAAATAGAATGAACATCAACGGATGCAACAACATGAACGAATTTCACAAATGTTAAGTGGAAAGATGAATGCCTGTAAAGCATGTAACCACAAACAAACACTGAATTTTATTTTATGATATGCATGACACAGTATCTGCGCGGAGATACACTAATGTGTGCAACTTACTTTGAAAACTATAACAAAATAATTTGGGGCTGGGTGCAGTGTCTCATGCCTGTAATCCCAGCACTTTGGGAGGCCAAGGCAGGAGGATTGCTTGAGCTCAGGAGTTCAAGACCAGCCTGGGCAACCTGGAGAAACCCTGTCTCTAGGAAAAAAAATTTAAAAATTAGGTGGGCATGTATGCCGGTGGTCCTAGCAACTCAGGAGGTTGAGGTGGGAGGATCGCTTGAAAGTTGCAGTAAGCCACGGTCATATCTCTGTACTCCAGCCTAGGTAACAGTGTGACACTGTCTCAATCAAATCAAATAAAAATAATTTGAATTAACGGGAGGATAAAGGAATGAATAGCTAGGTAATAACACAACCATAACAAAATGCTAATTGTAGACTTGAGGAGATATATGAGTATTCACTGTAAAATTCAACTGAGAAAATTTTCATAATAAAATGTTGAAAATAGGCTGGGTGTGGTGACTCACGCCTGTAATCCCAGCACTTTGGGAGGCCAAGGTGGCCGGATCACAAGGTCAAGAGACAGAGACCATCCTGGCCAACATGGTGAAACCCTGTCTCTACTAAAAATACAAAAATTAGCTGGGCATGGTGGCGTGCACCTGTAGTCCCAGCTACTCAGGAGGCTGAGGCAGGATAATCAATCCCTTGAACTCGGGAGGTGGAGGTTGCAGTGAGCTGAGACTGCGTCACTGCACTCCAGTCTGGCAACAGAGCGAGAGTCCATCTCAAAAAAAAAAAAGTTGGATATAATACCTACAAAGTTGAATATAGCATCCCATACTTAAGCTTCCCTTTACCTTGGGAAGGCTTAAAAGAAAATGTTGTCGTGAGAAATAGCGCTTTAGATTCTATGCTACTATTCAGAATATAAAGGAATGATTTTTCTTCTCTTTTTGTTTTTAAGACAGAGTCCCACTCTATTGCCTAGATTAGACTGCAGTGGCAATCATGGCTCACTGCAGCCTGAAACTCCTAACTCAAGCAATCCTCCCCTCAGCCTCCAAGTAGCTAAGACCACAGGCATGAGCCACCATACCTGGTTAATTTTTTTTTTTTTTTTTTTTTTTGTAGAGACAGGGTCTTACTATGTTGCTCAGGCTGGTATCGAACTCCTAGACTCAAGTAATATTCTTTTTTTTTTAAATGGGTTCTCTGAAACCTAACACATAACAGCGTTTTTTTCTGGGTCACTTACCCAATAAGTGTGGAGAAAGATGACGATAAAAGCTCAATTTACAACACAGAGTCAACAGAATTTCCTCAAGTTGGCCTAAGTCTTCAAAAGGAAGGGAGAAACCAACCATGTGCCACGCAGGTTAGAAAGGTTTTGGAGAGTACTCAATTATGATGGGCACATGCAGAAAGTGCCACAGGAAGCAAGAATGATTACTAAACACAGTACACGGATGAGGTGGGCGGAGGGCGGGGATAATTCTAAATTCAAGACCCAGAGACAGCATAACTTTCTAAACTTACCACTGCAGCACTTCAGCACTGATTCTCCCCATTCAACTTACCCAAAGATAATCTCCATCAACTTTTATGGCAAACTTCAGCTGTCTCAGACGAACAAGAGTAGGAGGAGAGTCAGAAATGTCAGAGACGCAGCGGACGACTCCAGCAATCTGTCCGCAAAGCAGCTCCTGTTGGTCAAGCAGGGTCTGTGGGAAAGGAGCACATTCCAGACGGGAAGCTGAAATGCTTGAACTCTTGCGTCATTTCTTACAGTATACTAAAGCCTGCAAGCCAAATCCAGTCTGTTACCCGTTTTCCTGTGGCCTGTAAGCTAAGAATGGTTCCTATACTTTTTAAAGGTTACAACAAAGAAGAACATGTGATTGAGACCTTAACGTGCCTTGCAAAGCCTAAAGTATTTCCTATCTGGCCCTTTACAAAGTTTGCTAAGCCCTGTCTGAGATGACTGAACCCTAAGAGCACAGCCACCATGGACACAGGAGATGACGGCACAAAACTGTCTTTCTGCTGCTAGGATCACAGGCACAGGCTTGAGGAGAAGCACGAGCCTTTGTTCCTACTCGAATCCCCTGGAAAGAGTGGCCAGGGTGACTCAGACTAACCCCAACTATCCGTGTCAGAGCACGGTCACGTGAGGGAACATACAGAATCTCCTCATGAACTTTAGCCTTAACTAAAGCACAGGATAGCCAGACAGTAGGTGATGTAACGGAAAATGTACACACCACCCTTACCTAGAAAACTGAGCTTGAACCTAACCAAGGCTCTAGACCTTACTACTAACGTAAAGGAAATACAGTGGATAGGAGACATTCAATGACACCACCATGAGGAAGAACTCAGCCAGATCTAGAGTGTGGGACATTCTAGCACTCTACTGCACAGATGACCTGGTTTCTTCAATAATTCAATGGCATGGTTCGGTGGGGAAGATGAGTGGCTGGGTGAGGACTGTTATTTCAAGGACTTAAAATACAAAATAACCAAATAGAATATGTGGATGCAGTTGGGATCCTTATAAGGAAAAAGAGAAATAAATGGAAGTATGGGTGGGTGGAAGGAAGGAAGAGCAGAATAAGTAACGTCTAAGACAATAAGGCAAAATTTGAATATAGCCTGGGTATCAGGTCATATTAAGGAATTACCAGGTCATATTAAGGAATTACTGTTACTAATTACTGTAACTTTTGTTAGGTGTGGCAATGTTTAAAATGATGCCCTTTTCAGGGAGAGGTGTTGCTTGATACTGGTGAGATGATACAACATCCAGAATTTGCTCCAGGAAAAGAAAAGAGAGAGAAGGGGAGGTTAAGATAGGTCATATAAAATTGGCAAAGTATTGATAATTGTTGAAGCTACTGACGGCATATGAGGGTTCATGATACTTGCCTCTCTGTTTTTGTATATGTCTGAATACAAACTTTTTGTTTTTTTGAGATGGAGTTTCACTCTTGTTGCCCAGGCTGAGTACAATGGCGTGGGCTCTGCCCACTGCAACCTCTGCCTCCCAGGTTCAAGCGATTCTCCTGCCTCAGCCTCCTAAGTAGCTGGGATTACAGGAGCACGCCACCACGCCTGGCTAATTTTTGTATTTTGAGTAGAGATAAGAGTTTCACCATGCTGGCCAGGCTGGTCTTGAACTCCTGACCTCAGGTGACCCACCCAACTCGGTCTCCCAAAGAGTTGGGATTACAGGTGTGAGCCACCATACCCAGCTGAATACAAACTTTAAAAAACTGAGCTGATCAAAAAATTGGGGCTAGAGGGAGCCAGACAAAAATCATGCTGAAAATAGAAAGCTAAAGACGATGTAAATGCTGAGCTCCCTGGAAATTTTAAGACCAGAACAACAAGAAATAGTACAACTAAAATAAGACAGTCAAAATGTCAATGTCTATATTAGCCAAACTGTCCTAATCTAAACCCTATACTTGTGAGAAGTCACCACTTAGAGGCACTGGGATCCCCACTGAACAGTGAAATGCTGTGTGGCTTACCTGGGAAGGATAGAAGTAACAAATGCCAGCTCGTGTTGGATCGCCTTCTTCCTTTACCTTGGAACCATCGTAAAGAAAAAAATAATTCCACCTGGCAAGAGAACAGAATGGAGCCATGTCTCCTTTCATCCAGCGATCACGGCATTTAAAACACAGCTTCCTTTTTCCCAGCCTGAGGAGGGCTCATGACTGTGTTTGAAAGCCTTCAGGTGGCCCCAGAGAAGAAAGAACCCCAGTAGCTACAAATTAGATATAACTGTTCTGTAAACGCAGGAAAGTCAAACTAAAAATATGCCTCTATCCAGCCGTCAGACCATCTGCCGGAGAAGACATGAGTAGCTGGAGGAAAAACGAGGCGCCCACAATGACTGCTCTTATTTGAAACACTGAACCTCAACCATACAACCACATGGTCTGATACACTGTCTTTTAAGGCTCTGATAACAAATTAAGTTAGGGATGTTATTAGATGGACCCCTCATAAGTGCTGAGCATAAAGATTTCCGGAAATAGCCCTTCAACTAGGAATCCACGCTTTCACTTAACCAGGCATCCCCAAACGATGGCCCCCTGAGGCCATTTACCCGGCCCCCCGCCACACTTCAGGAAGGGGCACCTCTTTCACTGGTGGTCAGTGAGAGGAGCACAGTATGTGGCGGCCCTCCAACGGTCTGAGGGACGGTGAATTGGCCCCCTGTGTAAAAAGTTTGGGGGCGCCTGCACTTAACAAACATTTACTAAGGGCCCACAGTGTGCTTCACGTTTGCTGAGCAAACACGCAGTTTCAGCGCAGGACTGTGACTCCATAAATCTGTAACGGGGGGAAAACGGGCCTATGAGAACTTACAGAGAAACTCTGAGCTCTATACCACACCACAGCTCACCCAGTATCACTCGAGCACACTTCCTCATTAACCTTCTCCTGAGTCCCTCAGCCCAGAGAAAGCTCTTCCTTCTGAATGTCCATGACCCTCTATTGTTCCCTAAAGACTCTTAAAGACTACACTGTAATATAACTATAATTACAACGTTATTATCTGATTACCTCTTTAAGACCATAAAACAAACACCTCCAAGGCCGGGTCTCCATTTTGTTTTGTTTTGTTTTGTGTTGTTTTCACAGACAGGGTGTCACTTTGTAGCCCTGTAGGCTGGAGTGCGGTGGTTCGATCACGGCTCATTGCAACCTCAACCTCCCAGGCTTAAGCCATCCTCCTGCCTCAGCCTCCCAAGTAGCTGGGACTACAGGAGCGTGCCACCATGCTCGGCTAATTTTTTTTTTAAAAATTGTAGAAATGAGTCTCACTATATTGCCCAGGCTGGTCTCAAATTCCTGGGCTCAAACTATCCTGTCTTGGCCTCCCAAAGTGCTGGAATTACAGGTGAGAGCCACAGAGCCTGGGTGGACCTGTTTTACTTCTCAGTCTCTGAAAACACATTTATGAGGCTACAGCATAAAGCAGCAATGGGACCAATCTGTCATCTGCTTTCTTCTCGCCTGGATCTATTCCCTCTCTGAGGCCTCCCTCTGCGGCTCCCACCTCACCTTCCTGATGAAAAAGCACCAACTCGGTTGGGCACAGTGGCTCACACCTATCCCAGCACTTTGAGAGGCCTAGGCAGGAGGACTGCTTGAGCTCAGGAGTTCGAGATTAGCCTGGATAATATGGTGAAACCCCATCTACAAAAAAATAGACAAAAGTAGCCAGGCATGGTGGTGTGTGCCTGTGGTCCCAGTGACTTGGGACACTAAGGCAGAAGGATCACTTGAGTCGGGGTTGGGGGTGGTGTTTGAGGCTACAGTGACCTGAGATCACGCCACTGCACTCTGGCCTGGACCACAGAGCAAGATCTTATCTCAAAAAAAAAAAAAGAAAAGCACCAACTTGGTCTCTGGCACTGTCCACTTTCCTAAGACCTAGGGCTGGGTGTACAACTGGCTGCAGGGTAGGCTTAGATCAAAAAGCCTTAAAAAAATTTCAGAGCCAACTCAAACTCCACGTGCACCCCATCCTCCCGTCTCCACGTTTTCTGGGTGAAAGCATCCCTGCTTGTGCAGGCACATAAAAGAAAGCTTGGCTGTCATTTTGAACTGCTCCAGCTTTTTGACTTTCACATAAATCATCAGTCACTAAATCCTGCTAAATCTAGCTAAACCTGCTTTTCACTTTCATCTCCTCCATGGCTGATGTTTCCTAAACCTAATTATGAGACAGGATATATGCATTTAGGGTTGAGAAGGGAAATGGGATTCAGACAGACATTGAGTAACACCCTTCAACAGCCAGTCTGGCCAAACCTCCTCTCATGGTGTAAGTCTCAACTGCAACCATTCCTCGTCTCTGCAAATTGAAGACGACAATACCCACATTAACCATCAAAGCTGGCTGCAAGATCAGGCTGTGGCTATCTTTTCTACAATCTCCCGGCAATGTCAGACTCCTTCAAACATTGCGAGAGGCTTGCAAGGTTAAAACACATTAGCTTTGGAGAGAAATGGCTCACGTGCTTGATTCAGCTGCTCTGAGGAAAGTGGCATTTTTCTTATCTTCATAAAATTAACACAATCTGGCTGGGGATTTTCAATTAACCCCAAAAATCGATCCAGCAGCCCAGCAAAAGCTGTGCCATGGCAGGTCCTGGTACTCACCACGAGGCTGACTTCGTCTCTGTGGAGGTGGAGGCGGCCATCTACTGTGCAGTCATCCTCATTCTCTTCATCTAGGTTTTCTTTTCCAGTACCACTTCTTTCTGCCCAGCTGTGACCGTTCCTCTATCCCCCAGTCCGGTGAATCCGGACGTGGTAGGTTTCAGTGTTTTCAGTCACAACTGCCACTTGGTGAGTTTTCACTCAGCATGAAAGTGCCACTTCCTTTCTTGCAGGTTCTTCGGTTTCATGAATATTTCTATGCCTCTTTCAGCTCACAGAGGAACTATAACAAAGAGAATCCTAGCAGAAAAGCCAAATCCATTTATCTGGTTCCCTGAGCGTCACTGTGGCTGTCTACAGAACAACCTCTTTAAGCTCTTCTCCAGGAAAGCCAACAGTGGGAGATGCCTGCTAGAGCTGGTGTTCTAAAATTTCTAGCTTGTCCGGTTCAAACCCATCCTGAAGATTCTATTAAAAGTTTTGAAGTTTCCAGTTCAAACATCAGTGCCTTGGCTCTGAAATAAACCCAAAGAATAGATATTTCAGAAACTCGTGAGAGTGCATGTGACCTAGCAGGATTAAACGACTAGTATATTTCAAAAGAGCTTTCTGTTAGGGTGACAATGATACTTCAAAATCAAAGAGAAAGGCTTGCAGACTTCAGAGTAAGGGCTTCAGTTTCTCCAACAGTTAAGGGACACACACCATAAGGCTCACAGAAGATCAAATCAAACGACAGGGTGAAGACGCTCTGGGTGTGGACAGCTATACAAATAAAGCAGTCGCTGTGGTAATAATGGAACCCAAATTAAGGAACTGTCATCTTGACAGTCCAAAAGTAACCTGAACCTGAAGAATTCCAGAGAGGGGCAAGTTTATAAAAAATGAAAAGAACTTTCAAACTTCCACCAGAGAAAGACAGCTCAGTGTATCATGGAATTTCAGTCGGAAGGAACCCTGGCATCATTTACTCTACTCTCCTGCATTCTCTTCCAAAAAGTACCTTGGGTGGCTCTCCTTTACACCCTCCAGAGATACGTAGTTCACCACGTTACATTTCTCCTTCCTCCTTCCACCAAACTAAAATCTGCCTTCCAAATTTTATATCTGCTTCCCACTAGCTAGTCTGGGTAACACTCTCCAGGAAAGCATAAAACAAGGTCTACTTTTACCATCTGACAACCTCTTGGTCACTTCAAAACTATTGTCCAATTCATATTGCCACTTTCTCCAAGCTTAATGCCCTAGCAACATGGTCTCAAATGCTTGCTCACCGTTCTGCAATTTGTGGGAACACAGCACGGTTTGTTAAAAGTCTCTAGAGACGACCCCCACTGTATATTTAACGGCCTGTAAAATCGCGATTTCTTCTCAGCTCTAGATATTTCGGATTGGGTCTCCGCGGGACCATACCCATCGTATTCTATGGAGCATATCCGGGTGCCTGTGGAGGGGGCATTTCTGTCCCCAGAACCAAGGACAGCGGCCTAAAACGCCCCCATCCCTTGTTCCCAGAGGACTGGGCCCCCTCACTACCGAAGGTCCTCTCTTATCTCTGAAAGGTCCAGAAGAGGCCAAGAACGGCCCTGGCGCAGGGACCGCCGTCGGCATGGGAGCAGAAAAGGCTCTGGTAGCCTGGGAAGTGATAGTAACAACCTGGGGGAGGGGCGGGTGATAGCAGCGTGGGAAATCGCCTCGGTGGGGCAGCGGGGCTGGAAAAGGGACGCTAATGGCTGGAGAAGGGCCAGGAAGCTGCCAGACACAGCCCCCGGGGCGCAGGCAGCGACCGGGGACAGCACGAGGGCCCTGCGGTGTCTGGCCCCAGCTCCAGGGGACTGGGAAACGGTGGGCGAAGGCCCAAGGATCAGGCGGGGTCGGGTCACGCTCTCGGCTGGGGGCCCGCCCCTCAGTATCCCCGCGCCTCCGAGCACCGCCCACCCACCGGAGTACCCTGGCATCCCAGTGCTCGGGGTTCGGGACTCTGGACCCGGAAGGCGGGCGGCGGCCTGGGCACCAGCAACTCCGGCCGGGTACCTGTGAGCCCGGTAGAGAGGCCTTAGGTCACGCGCCGCCCCGCCTACCGCCCCCTCTTGCTCCCGGCGAGTCGGCGCGCGGCTATGACGTGTCTGAGTGCGCCGCGCTCCGCTGACGTCAGAGGCCGGTGATGACGTCAGAGGCTAATGGCTGCCGCCGCGGCTGCCGTGCCGGAATCCTGGCAGACGGCTGGTCCGCGGAAGAGGCGCTCGGCGGCGCGACAGCCACGGCGGAGGGAGGCGGCGCCCCGGGACCCCGAGGCGGAATTCGAGGCTGACAGCGGAGTCGTGCTTCGTCGCATCTCGGACGCTGAGTGAGTGCGGGGTCGACCCTAGTGGAATCTTTGCGCCTATGGGCAATTCTGAGCCACAGTCTCGCCATCTATAAAGTGGCAATATAATGCACACCCTTTGGGGTTATTGTGAGGGTTTAACGTAGGGAACGAGCTCATTAAAGATCTGGATTATAGTAAACGCTCAATTGAAGGTTGTCTTCCCTGTTAGAGCTGCGTGACCTTGGGCAGTTTCTCATCTCTGTGCCTCAGCTTTCTTATCTGTGAGATGGGGACGAAAATAGTACATACTTAGGTTTGTTTTGAGGATTCAATGAATTAGTCAACGGAAACCATTTTCTGGCACGTGATAAGCACTGTGCCAATATTTGCTATTAATATTATGTCGATGTTGGTGTTATTGATGGTGGTAACACGAGGGCAGCAACATGAACACGTGATTGCTGTCATGATCAGGCAGCTGCTGTGTGTCTGACACTGGCTTAATCATTCTGCACACTTTATGTTACATTGCAGGCACGCTAAAACGCTGGTAGCTCACTGAATCTCAAAGAGACAAATAAAATGTATAGAACCAGATTTCAAACCCAGGTCTTTGTGATAAAAACCAGTGCTTCCAGCTCTCCGTTATGCTAGATACTTATCCCAGCCGAGATTCTCACATACTTTGCTCCATACCTTAGGAAGTACATAGAGAGTGCCTAATACAGAGGAAACACTCAATAAATGTTACCTATTATTGTTATTTAGTATTATTGCCTTTATTTGCAGTTCTCTTTAGGCTCAATAAATAACAGCTTTAGTTAGGACTTCAGATCACCGTCTGAAGGGCCCTCACAAGGGAAGAAATTAGATTTAATTTTGTGTGCTCCTTTCCCCTAGAATTAGGATCAAGATTCGGGAATGACGCAGTTTACCTGTGAAAAGAAAGTTGCTGACCATTTGGCTCGGCCTGAATAAAAAGGACCTGCAATTCTTTTTAAGCTCTCAGAAGGTGCCAGTGCCAGTGAATGCGCCTGGGGGTTTGGAGACCTCAAGGTGCTTTTCATATCCCTTGATACTATTACTGCTTCAGTATTCCCCCGGGGCTCCCTGCTTCTCCCAACACCCAAGTGTGGTACAATCACCATTGCCTGAGTATTGAGCCAACATTTTACATGCTTATCGATGTACGCATTTACCAGTTCATAAAGCATTCCCGTGTACCTCAGAACTCTCTCCTTTACCCTCTGTGAGGAACGTGCAGCAGCCTCTGGGCCGACTTTCAATTCTCTGTACTCCTTTTTGCACCACATTCTCACTATCTCTGGCCGTGGTTTGTCAGTTTAAATCCAGTTGATCGTAATTCACTGTTGACTTTGTTCTGCTCTGCGTCTGTCAAACCAGTTGACTTGAATAAAGAAAGCCCAGATACTTGCTTTTGTCTCTTTACCTTCCCCTTAGAACGATTTATACTAATAAAGACCATTTATTGAGTACTTGCTATGTGCCAGACACTGCTAGGAATGTTAACCCTGTTAACCCTTTTTTGTCATTATGTATTACAATGTAAATGTTAACCGATTTTATGCCCCTAAACTCCTCCATGTTGGGAATGATTTTTATCCCCAATTTAGAGATGAGGAAACTAAAGCTCAGAAAGGCAAATTCTGAGCATTTAACAACCATTTATTAAGCTGCAGTTCTACGCTAGGCTCTGTTGTAGACTGAGAATAGACCCAGACCTCTCTGAGAACCAAAAACCTCCTCCAGCGTCCTCCCTCCTGCAGTCTCTGCACCCCAGCAGTATGTGGTCTGGCTCTGGACGTGTTCAACATATATCCCCCTCCTATCACTTGGTAAGGGTGGGCCGTGCATTGCAGGGCGCCTCATTCTCTATGCATTCGGGTCATGATCAGGAAAGTTAATGTTGGGGCAGCCCTGAAATGAATGGGACATAACTGTGCCATTTTTTCTCAACAGGAAGGACCTGCTTATCTCTGATTTCTGGAGTTCAGCACTAGGTGGGTGCCACCTGGCCAAGGGTAGGGGCTGTAGGGCAGAAAAGAGAATCAGCCCGCATTTGAGGACATTTTGCTTCACAGCGGGATAACTTGCTGGGTACTAACCTCCCCCCACCCCTTGCAACTGAGTGTCTTTTGGCACTTAATTCTGACCCTCAGTTTCTTTATCTGTGAAATGGGGGTAATGTGTATATCCTGTAGTTTTGAGAACTGAAGCTGTGTAGTTAAATGCTGGCCTGCTGTATACAAGGCAATAAATGTTGTCATTATTATTGCTGAAATTTATATTTATCCTGTTCCTTTTCCATGATATTACAATGGAGCCTTTTTCTCATGCAATTATAATCTCCTCCTAAACATAGTGGAGATTGTTTAGTATTGTTTAAAATATCATATTGTGGGTGGCAACATAATGTTTATGCATGGAATGGACATGCTATATCATCTTTATTGAGGGACATTTAGTTTTCTTCCTTTGTTTTTCAGTTATTATTTTAGGACAGGGTCTCAGTCCTCACCCAGGCTGGAGTACAGTGGTGCAAACGTAGCTCACTGCAGCCTCTGCCTCCTGAGCTCAAGTGATCCTCCCACCTCCAGCCTCCCAAAGCGCTGGGATTATAGGCATGAGCCACCACACTCAGCGTTTTTAGATTATTATACATAATTTTGCGATGAGCAACTTTATGCATAAAGCTTTTACCAAATTTAGGATGATCTTCTTAGAATATATTCCCAGAAATAGAATTAAATGAAAGGCAGTGACCAACTTGATATCCATTGTCAAGTTACCCAAAATGTTTTCACCAATTCTTCTATCAAAACTGAAGAGCCAGTTTTTCATGCAAGCTTTCCTGGCCTGGGGTCTTATTTAAAGGTATCTTTGCTGGTTCCTTTTTTTTTCCCAGCAAGGTAGCTGCTGTTATTGTTCTGGATCCTTTTTTTTTTTGAGACAGTCTCACTGTGTTGCCCAGGCTGGAGTGCAGTGGCGTGATCTCAGCTCATTGCAATCTCCACCTCCTGAGTTCAAACAATCCTCCTTGCCTCAGCCTCTTGAGTAGCTGGGACTACAGGCATGTACCACTACCCCTGGCTAATTTTGTATTTTTGAAGAGATGGGGTTTTACCATGTTGGCCAGACTGGTCTTCAAGTCCTGACCTCAGGTGATCCACCCGTCTCAGCCTCCCAAAGTGCTAGAATTACAGCATGAGCCACCGCACCCAGCCTGTTACAACTTTAAAAGTATGAATTTCAGAGCATAGTCTACATTTACCAGGAGCCTCTTGTTAAATTAGAATGAGTTCACATTAGAGTTTTAGATGGAAACTGCTGTGAATAAAACCCAACTTCTGCTTACAACATTCTCTTGGGTTTTGGACCATGGGAGTCCAGGGGTTGGGACAGCCTGTCAGTGGTGAATATGACTGTTATGTCCCGGCATGTTTGGGAATGTGGCCGGCAGCTTTTCTCTCTGAAAAATGGAAACCTTTTACTGCCCTGATCTCTTTCTTCCCAAATCTGTGAACTTCTTTTATGGATGATTTGACTCACAGGGTCAGAGCATGCCCTCTAACTGCACTTGGCCTGCTCTTTCAGAAACCATCAATAAATGTCTCACAACACATCTGGAACAGCTGAAGGCCCCTGTGAGGACTCTCTCGGACACCTTTGGAAACCTGCATCTTGACTCATCGCCAGATGAGTCAGATGTGGCCCCTGACTCTATCCCAGGAGGGACCCTGGACACAGGAACCTGCCTTTGGAAGTGTGTGTGTTACGGCATTGGGAACTTTGCCACCTGCATCATTGCTAGAAACCAGCTAACATTTTTGCTGCTTTTGTTGGAGAAGTGCCAGGTACATTTTTGGATTCATTTTCATCTCCTCCTCCGCTGGTCTTGTCCATGGCTGCACACAGACGTTTGGGTGGAAGTAAACAACTGATTCTTCCCTTCTAGATTCCCAGAAGTCACTGTTGGGTGTATGACCCTCTGTTCAGCCAACTTGAAATTGACGTACTTAACACCCTTGGTGTGACTGTTCTCAGTGAGAACGAGGTAAGTGGATTAAAGGGGAGCAGACCGTACTATAGAAATCCTGACCAGCCTGACCCCAGGCTCTCTGCCTGTGGACACCACCAGCATTCTCGGCAATGGTAGCCATTCCTCTTATCGCTGAAAGATGTAACCAGCCAATCAGTTACCTACATTTTGGCTTGTGCTGTACCCATCAGAAAAAAAAACCTACACAAACAGCAGGAACCAGATCACGTTAGGTCCGCACCGCTTCTGAGAATTATGTGTCTGGAAGTTATGCTAACTTGCTATTTGCTGTTGCTATTGAAAAATAAAAGGCTGGGTGTCTCAAGTGAGGTCTTTCTGGATTTTACCCTGTCCCAGGAAGGTGATAAGGGGGGACGCAGCATCCCTCTTTGATGCTATAACCCAGTCAAACCCATAGCGCCTGGCTGTGCGTTGTGGATTAATTCTCTGCCCACATTTGCACCCCCCAAAATAGCTGGGATTTGACATTTCTGAGAACTGTGGAATAAAGCAATGCATCTCTCAAGCCCAGGGCCAAGGCCAGTATAAGCAAATCCCTCCGATTTTGGTTCTGCATTATCTTGGGGATTAGAATCATTTGATTCCTGTGTGTGTCCTGAAACTGCCATCTTACTGCTTATTATGTATGAAAATTGGCTCAGTTGAGACAAGAGTCATTCCCTGATTTTGGCAAGGTCTTAAAACACTGTCACTCAGTTCAGATCATCTTTCTGGGTGCCTGCGCTGTGCTAGGCAAGGAGCTTTGCCAAGGCCAAGATAAATGGGAGCCAGTCTCTGTTCTGGGAGCCGGTGCTCACATCAGGGCATGTGACCTGTAAACAAGTCAATGAGGAATGAAATAGTGAGGCAGAATCTCGTACTAGGAACTGAGGCAAGAGAGGTGTTTGGAGGGATGGACGAAGGTCTCCTGGGTCTGAGCTGGGCTTTGAAGGTCTACCAGGAGTTTGCTGGTGAGACAGAACCAGGATTGCAGGCAGCTGTGCGGTGCTGGCTGTTCAGGAAACCACTGCCAGTTTAGGCAGGCCAGCGGTGGACAAGGGTCAAAGGGCCTTATGTTCCCTGCTAGAGTTTGGCCGTAGAGCTGTGATTCCCAGGAGGGGTGACTGTGCATCAGGGACGTCCGAAGAGGACTCAGTTATGATGCAGATCTGTAGGAAGTGACACAGGAAACATGGGCTACTGAACATGGAAATAGACTGGGAAGTAACATCACCCTCCTTCCTGTCCTTGCCGTGATGGACCCAGGAAGCCCCTCCATTAGTGCATTGTGTTCGTGTATTTGTTAAGTAAACATGAGTTCTTTTGGGACATCATGATTTCCTGACTTTTTAATGCTGTAACGGTATAGATTTCATACACGACTGTAACTGTTCCACAATCAAAGTGAGATTTTTTCCATTTGATCCTTTAGCTTGTCTCATTATTAACCCCATCCTCACCTCTTCCTCACCTTGCTGTAAAGAATAGGTTGTGGGCATGTTCACCTCTGTGAATATTGTATCCCCAGGAAGGGAAACGGAGTATTTGCGGGGAGGCTACCATCTTTTACATGCTCCACTGTGGGACGGCCTTGTACAACAATCTTCTGTGGAGTAACTGGTCCGTAGACGCCCTTTCTAAGATGGTCATCATTGGGAACAGTTTCAAAGGACTGGAAGAGAGGTGAGCCCGAGAATGCTGAGATTATGTCAGGCCCTGCGGTGAAACCCATACCTCAGATTGACCCACAAGCAGAAAACATTTGCTTGACAATTCCATACTGGGAAACGCTTTTCCATAGGGAACTGGTTGAAGGGTTAAAGAGATGTGAGACCCCTGATTCAGGCAGTGAAGCAAGTTAAGGAGTCTTTTTGCCACGATTTTCTCCCTTCCATTGTGATACACAGAAATGCTTTTGAAAACAGGGAAAGCTCTTTCATTCCTCTGCCTGCAGATCCCATAGCCTCGTTGTTCACAGAGCTTAGACGTCTGCCCAGTCATTCTCTTGATGACATAGGCACGATTACTGGAGTATTTGCTTCTATTTATTTTAATTCATTTCTTTTATTTGACTTTTTTGAGACGGAGTCTCACTCTGTCCCCCAGGCTGGAGTGCAGTGGCGCGATCTCGGCTCACTCCAACCTGTCTCCTGGGTTCAAGCAATTCTCCTGCCTCAGCCTCCAGGGTAGCTGGGATTACAGGCACACACCAGCATGCCGGGCTAATTTTTGTATTTTTAGTAGAGACAGGGTCTCACCGTGTTGGCTAGGCTGGTCTTGAAGTCCTGACCTCAAATGGCCCACCCACCTCAGCCTCCGAAAGTGCTGGGCACGTGCCTGGCCCACATTTCCAACTGTTTAACCTACTCCACATCTCGAGTTTTTTCCGGATTTCTTACTGTACTTCAGTCATCTTGCCTTTCTGTATGTCTTAAGTTGAATGAAACTATCCTCATACCTCCTAATCACGTTTTTTGTTTTGTTTTTTTTCTTGTTTTTTAATTCCTAGATTGTTGGCAAGGATTCTGCAGAAAAACTATCCCTACATTGCAAAGGTATCTATCCGAATAAAGGGGCTGGGATGGAAAAGCGTGTGAAACGGTGAAGAATTCTCTTTACACGCAAATGAGGAAGCGCAGGGACTAAGTGACGCTAGTGTCCTTTCAGTGAGCTCTCTCCATGGATCTGTGTTCCAGAAAGTTTGACACTGAATGCATCTCTTAGTTTTTTTCCTTATTTCCTTTATTCTCAGTATCACAGTCCATGATATCCACTGCCCTTGGGGCACCTAATTCATTGTGCAAAAGCATTTAAATGGAAATATCCTCGTTATTTTTTTTAAAAAGGAAAGTGGGGGTAACAAGTAACATGGAAATTTAACCCAAAGAGTGGGGATTACTGTGACTATCAAGTTTTCACACTTGAATTTTTCTGCTCAGATTTTAAAAGGACTGGAGGAGCTTGAGTTTCCTCAGACTTCACAGTACATGGACATGTTTAATGATACCTCTGTCCACTGGTTCCCTGTACAAAAGCTAGAACAGCTCTCCACAGATACTTGGGAGTTTCGGGAGGAACCAGATTATCAGGACTGTGAGGACCTTGAAATCATCAGGAACAAGACAGAAGATCCTTCAGCTACTGACCTGAACTCACTGTCAGGTACTCATTGTTGGCTGAGGTAGAGACTAAAGGGAAGGCTGCTATGGAGAAACTACAGAGAACTCCTTTGCCAGGAATTCACATCGACTTGGCTGTGCTGTTCGGAGGACGATACCCCACATAATTGGTATAAAGATGCACGCACTGCTAAGTGATCGTCCCGTTTTGCGTCCTTCCCTTGTGACCTGGCCTGATGTGGGGTATCTCTGGAATAGAGAAGTTACCCTTTTGAAGGTGATCGAAAATGTCGTTTATTCACAACGCATCCCTCTCAGGTACAAGTCTCTGGGCCTGCCACAGTTCACTTGGCCATATCGATCAGGCTCTGCAGTGAGGTGGGCACCCAGGTCTTCTCGCCCTGGACAAAGACCACTCCCCGGTCGATGTAGATCACAATGCGGCCAAAGGTGTACAGCTGCTTCCCTTCGTGCCGCTTCCCAATGATGGGCATGAAGACGATGTTGTGCTCCTCGGCCTTGGTCTCAATGAGGTCCTTGAAGTTCATGGGCACAGAGCTGGTGGCCACGCCAATGCCCCTCTGGGCCATGTTCTCGGCCTCCCGCCTCTCCTGCATGGCCTCGTACTGGAAGTCCTTCCTCCGCTCCGTGTGGGTGAGATAGGCAATGTTCTCCCGTGCTCCTGGCTGCATGTAGGCCCCTGAGAGAGAACAGAAGATAGGGCAGTGAGGACAGGTGTTTCCAAGTGTATGGAAGTTGACCCTGACTTGGCCCAGGTCTGGGTGTGCCAGAGTGCCTGTGACTCACTAAAGGGCAGCTGTGCCACCGAGATGCAACTCTGGAGGTAATTAATAACTAAGAGATTATTAAATATTCATTTTAAAATGAAGTATCTGCAAGGGATTTCTTCTTTGAGAGATGGAAACGGCTGGGCATGGTGGCTCACACCTGTAATCCCTACACTTCGGGAGGCCAAAGTGGGCAGATCACAAGGTCAGGAGTTCGAGGCTAGCCTGGCCAACGTGATGAGACCCCATCTCTACTAAAGATACAAAAAATTAGCCAGGTGTGGTGGCGCACACCTGTAATCCCAGCTACTTGGGAGGCTGAGGCAGGAGAACCATTTGAACCTGGGAGGTGGTGGGTGCAGTGAACCGAGATCATGCCACTGCACTCCAGCCTGGGCAACAGGGTGAGACTCCATCTCAAAAAAAAAGGAAACATTAACAGAGAGTCCCCACCCACTCTTCCATTCCCACCTTGTTCTGCAGTTTCCACTTCACACCACAAAAGAGGCAGCTTTTAGTACCTTGAAAAACATGGCCCATACTGGCCTTATTTTAACTTACCCATACAGGTTCCCCGTCCTGAAAGACACATGTTTTGGGGCGCTGAGATGGGTGTTTAAAGGATAATACAAGTGCTAAGTGCTAATTGAGAGGTATGCAGGGAACAGTTTTGGAAACATGAGGCCAGGAGTAGCTAAGGAGGAGTTTTTAGGAAGACCTTGATAATTACAGAAGCAGAGAAGTATAGTTTATCTGTGTTTTCACAGAATATGCTAACTATTAAATAACAAGAATTAAAGACCCAGGAAATAGAAATTCCAGTTCTAACTGCCACTATGTGACCTTGAACAGGCTCTTAGCCTCGCTGGGCTTATCTGTAAAACAGACTAGATGATCCCATCTCAATGCTGTGAATCGGCTAATGAGCAACACTGGAGGAAAGACTGGCTGGAATAGGCTCCCAGATGTAGAAATATAAACATCCTTTACTGAGGATCATCAAGGCAGAATGGCTTCCCTAGAACTTGGGGACAGATACGGCACATGAACAGTGGACTGTCTTTTTGACAACACAGACGCCACGTATTGAAGGCTACACACAAGCATGAACGCGATCCCCCTTTTAGCCTATGCAGCAGATCTTACTGTTTTACAGGTAAAATGGGGTTGATAAGGGCTGAGCAGTCACCGAGTGTCAGTCCGTGTGCCCAACTCCTCACTGTAAGATGTGCCATCTGAGCAGCATGCTCAGGGCTGGCTGAGCAGAAGCGTGGATGAGCCTTAAAAGGCCACACAGCACAGTGGTTAAGAGGGCAGGCCCCGGGGTCAGACTGACAGCATCTGACAGCTGAAGTCAGTCTCCACTCCGGAAGATGCCCCTCTCAGTCATGGCAGACCTGGCAGTGGGTGCCAGCTGACCATGTACCCCAATCAGCAGGGGGAGAGTCTGTCACTACGTGCAGAAGTGTGACCTAAGGTTTAGGCTGCCTACTGGAACCAGAAAACTCTGATTCTGTGTCATTTCTATGTGTCAAATCTGAAACTCGAGGCCGGGACGTCCAGAATGGGAATCCTCACTTACCAACGTTGGAGGACACCGCCCGGTTCATGATATCGAGTGCTTCGTTAAATTTGTCCTTGACAGATGGATGTGCCAGCACTTGGTCTGAGAACATAGACTTCCAACCCAGGTACCACTTGGTGATCTCCTCATAATTTGGGCTGTTACTGAGCCAGGAGCACAGCACCTGCCGAAAAGCAAAATTACTTGCGTCCAGGACGGCAACAAACGAAGGCACGGTTTCCGAAGGGGCCGTTGGTTTTGTCTGATCCTGCTTCTACAGCCTAGTGTTTTGATCCGTATCCCATTTTACAGGGATTTATAGAGGAGCTAAACAGTGTAGCACTTATGAATATGGATTTGGAGTCAGCCTGGTGGCTAAACTGCCCATGCAGTAAACTCTCTCAGCCTAGGCTTCCGTGTCTACACAACAGCGATACCACAGCCTACCCTAGGGGTGCTGGGAGGAGCCAAGAGAAAGCCAGTGAAGTGCTTGGAACAGCCTCTGAAACATGACAAACGTCCAATAAATACATGGTGCCCACTATTAAGATGACCTAACTCATTCCTACCCTACCGTGCAATTTATTTTCATTATGGAATGGTGCCTGTAGCCAGGCCTTGGCAGAAAATTAACTTAGTCCCCTCCCCCAGCAAACCAAGCAAGACGAAGTGTACCTGCAGCCACTTGGGGAAGAAGTGCTTTTCCAGAAGTCCCACCAGGCTAGAGACGGAGATCATCCCTTCCCAGTCGATCACCCAGTAGAAAGCATCCATATGCTGCTGGTGGGGGTTAATGACAAGCTCACCAAGACACATCCCTGGAAAAGAAACCCGGTCTGTAAGGCACAGCTTTAGTACCAGCAAAGCCACAGAAGCACCCAGAGCAAAGACAATGTCCGTTTTCATCTCAGCTCACAGCAACCTCCACCTCCCGGGTTCAAGTAACTGTTGTGCCTCAGCCTCCTGGGTAGCTGGGAGTACAGGTGTGCACACTGTGGCTTGCTTTTTGTATTTTTATTAAAGACAGTTTTGCTATATTGTCCAGGCTAGTCTCAAACTCTTGGCCTCAGGTGATCTGCCCACCTTAGCCTCCTAAAGTGCTGGGATTACAGGTATGAGTCACGGCTCCTGGCTTTTTTTTTTTTTTTTTTTTAAATAAGACAGGGTCTCACTGTCACCCTGGCTGGAGTGCAGTGGCGGATCACAGCTGACTGCAACCTCTGCCTCCCGGGTTCAAGCCATCCTCCTGCCTCAGCCTCCCCTAGTAGCTGGGACCACAGGCGTGTGCCACCATGCCTGGCTAGTTTTTGTGTTTTTGGTAGAGATGGGGTTGCACCATGTTGCTTGGGCTTTAATCTGCTTTTAAAGGTAAAATTTAAGCTCTTGACATAGCAATTCTTAAAAATTTTTTTTTTTTTTTTTTTTTTTTTGCTGACCCAGAAATAACTTTCATAACCTAGAGTAAAATACCACGAAAATTTCAAAACTACTATGGCTGTCCTGTTACCAGAAGCCAAAGCCAAGCAGGAAAGCTACAAGGCACAGAGTCCAATATTGTCACTGTCGTCTATGAGTCACTGTTGTAAATAAACCGTAGAAAGGACCCAAGTTACGTTGATGTTCAGCCTCTGCACAAGTGGGTAGCTTTTTCACGCGAGGAACATTGTGTACTAAGCACTTTCACGAGCGCAAAGGCTGTGTTTTAAGTCATCACCCCTGACCACAGAAGCCAGGGCACCAAAGCTGCTGGACGTGGAATGCATTTTCCCCATATCCTTACCCAGCTTGGGCACTATGTTTTTGACCATGAATGCTTCCCAGGAGCCAGGAGTGAAGACATCCTTCCAGGGCTGGAGGATGAGCTTGGCCGAGGAGTCACTGGGGTGCCACTTCTGCAGGGCGCTGGACAGCTTGCTACGGATGGGGGAGTACAGCGGCTCCAGCCGTGCCTGCATGAGGGGCAGCCATGGGTGGATCCAAGAGTGGATGGGAACAGTGTCTGTGAGTGGGTTCCAGTTTTCCACCTGTAGAGCAGGGAGAAGAAACGGTTCATGCCGCCTGCGGGGCGGTGGCATGCATCCCTGTGTGGTTAAAGGCAAGAGCTGCCCTTGGAAGAGGCGGCCCCACGCTCTTGTAGCCAAGGTCTACAGTCCTTTGTACGCTGCCAAACAAATACGCCCATTCACTTGTATTACATCTCAGAAACAGCACAATTCTAATTTTAGTGAAGAAATCAAGAAAACGAATTCTTTCCTGAGGGTGGCTTGGGGGAAAAAGTGCTGAGAAAAAGACTGGAATTAACACTATAGACCAATAGTTGGGTTGACAAATTCTGCTAACTCCAGGCGTTTTAACAGCACTGAGATAATGAAGACACAGACTGTCCCTGTTGGTTACTGACGACAGCTGTTTCCCATGACTCTCACCCCACCTCCTTCTGCAGCTTGGGGAAGATGAGTTGGTCCAGTATGTTATCTAAGATCCACACAGGAATAATGTGCACCCAACTATCCAGAAAGTCCACCATCGGGTCACAGTTTCTTGGCTGCCACTGGGTGACGATATTTCGAACAAAAGGCATCCAGACTTCCCATATCAACCTATGGGAGAAAGGCAGAGGACGGGCTGGTTAATTACACTGATTGTTTTCAAGTACACAACCACCGCCTGCCTCTCTAGAATCAGAAACAAAAATGCAACAACATGGAAATCCAATCAAAGGAAACCGTCAGGCCAGTCACCATACTGGCCAGACCTGAGCCTGCCTCTTCCTTGTTCTCATGACTGTCCTCTTAACCTGAGGCCTCAGTCTCCTAGGTAGTGCCCGCCCACCTGGCAGAACTGCTGTAGGGTCACAAGGGCCTCTTCCCAGGTATCAAGTGCCTTCCCACCTATAGACTTCTACCCATCAGCTCACGCCTCACCCTATCGAAGCTTCAATGTCACCTCCTCTAAGACCACTGTCCCAACCCCCGTCTCAAGTAGGTCACTCCTGCAGCTCTCTACTGTGGTACCTGGTGTGCGTCCCGCCTTTATTTGCTCACTGCCTTATTACCCATCTGCCTTTTCTGCTGTGCTGTAGAAAGAGGCTGTCTGCTGTACTCCCAGGGTAAGCCCAGCACCTAGGACAAGCATGATACTCAACAAACATTTGACAAGTGTCAGCTGAATTCATGGCCAAATGTAATAGCATAACCACTATGGAAAACAGTGTGGAGATTACTTAAAGGACTAAAAGTACTTCCACCATTTGATCCAGCAATCCCACTACTGGGTATCTACCCAGAGGAAAAGAAGTCATGGCTGAGTGCGGTGGCTCACGCCTGTAATCCCAGCACTTTGGGAGGGTGAGATGGGCAGATCATGACGTCAAAAGATAGAGACCACCCTGGCCAGTATGGTGAAACCCCGTCTCTACTAAAAATACAAAAATTAGCTGAGCATGGTGGTGTGCCTCTGTAGTCCCAGCTACTCAGGAGGCTGAGGCAGGAGAATCTCTCGAACCCAGGAGGCAGAAGTTGCAGTGAGCAGAGATCGCGCCACTGCACTCTGGCCTGGTGACAGAACGAGACTCCATCTCAAAAAAAAAAATAAGTCATTAGACGAGAAAGATACTTGCTCAGACAAGTATCTGTGCACCTATATATACACATAGATATATATGTGTGTGTATGTGTATGTATAGTGGAATACTACTCAGCCATAAAAAGGAAAGAATAGCATTCACAGCAACCTGGATAGGACTGGAGACTATTACTCTAAGTGAAGTTGTAACTCAGGAATGGAAAATCAAACATCGTATGTTCTCACTCTTAAGTGGGAGCGAAGCTATGAGGCTGCAAAGGCATAAGAGTGACACGATGGACTCTGGGGACTCGGGAAAGGGTGGGAGGCGGGTGAGGGATCAAAGACTACAAGCTGGGTTCAGTGTACACTGCTCAGGAGATGGGTGCACCAAAATGTCATAAATCCCCACTAAAGAACTTACTCGTGTAACCAAACACCGCCTGTTCCCCAATAACCTATGGCAATAAAAAATTTAAAAAAAAAAAAATGAATTCATGGCCAAATGAATGTAGCCTCCTAAACAGTGTCAGCATGAGCAGAGAACTCATCAAGGCCAGCGCGGCTGCCTTCACCCACCTTCGGCGATCCTTCCCAACCCCCCGGGAGAAAGGAGCCGGAGTGCAGAGCCCTGCCCTGCGGTACCTGTGAAAGGCATCCGCTGAGAGGTCCTGTCCGCCATGAGACAAGAGCTGGTCATTCTCTAGGAGGCTTTTCCATTTGGAGATGATCTCGGTGCCGTAAGTGCAGTCCTGGGGAGAAAGGTGGAGCAGATGAGGGGCAGCGGGCTCCCCAGCCCTCGCTGCCCGCCAGACCATCTCATCAAGCAAGGGCAAGCCCAACCGAGAGGCAGGGATAGGTTGATGTTCCCCACCACTCACTTTGAGGGGGTCCCACTCCTTGAAGTAGTCCTTCATGAGTGGATAGACGATGGCCACGGCGAGGTCCACACGGTCAGACATCCTGTACTCCTCATAATACTTGTCCTGCAGCGTTTCAAAGATGCGGGCGCACTCGTCCAGGGTGAGGGGGTTGCTGCAGTCAGGCTGCATCCGCCGCTCGCACTCCTCCACCATCTCCAAGACCTTGCTGAGGTTGGAGATGACACGCTCCTCATGGTCCAGGACCTCAGTCATCTTCTCCAGCTCATGGAAGAGGTTGACCACCATGTCCCGCTCATACTGTAGCTGCCGGTCATTCTGGATGATCTCCTGCTCGGTGAGGTCGATGAGCAGCTGCAGGTTGTGCTCCAGCTCGGGCAGCGCGAAGCCCGGGGCCTTGGCCTCTTTGCCAGACGGCGGCAGCTGTTGGGACTGCAGCGGCAGCCCATCGTCGGGAACGTTGTGCTTGTGGCTGATCTGACTGTAGCTGTAATACACCTTCTGCTCCCGGCCTGTCATGTCTATGACCTTGGAAAACGTAAAGGGACGAAGGTTAACACCACTGCAGCCCTGTGAAACACACAGTTGAGCCCAGGGGAAGGCCTCCTGACAGGGGAGGTGTGCAAAGACCCCACATTCAACAGAGCGAGAGAAGGGCAGTGTTTCACCAAGTGGGATCCACACTGTCCTAGCCTAAAGGAGACTTCCAGGGACAAAATCAGATGCAGCAAGCAGTTCCGGACTGGATCACTGTGAACAAGCCAGAGACATGGAAAAGACTTTTTTAGGAAAACATGAAATTTAAATAGGGACTGAGTATTAGGAGATGTGAAAATATATTTTCATGGAAAAGTGGAAGCTGTACTGATCAAAGGAGGTCACATACAATCAGAATATCACATTTTGGGTTTTAAAAAATGCATATAACCACAGACAAAGATCTACGCTGTACAACAAGACCTTAACGTCCGGTAATCTTAGGAGGATGGAAAATATTTTCTGTGTTTCTGCCTATTTCCTAATTTTCTAAAATGTACTACACACTGCTATTGTAATAACAAAGTTGTTTTTTTTAAATTTTAAAACAAAACATACAAAAAGCTAACTGAACAAAGGCAACCTAGGTGATGAGCTAATTCCAATATTTTAGGAAAACGAGAAATCTGAATACGGACTATCACTTCTGAAACAGAAAGATTCATCACCGCTTTTTAAGTAAGAGTGTGATCCGTGAAGCAGCAGCATTAGAATCACTGGAGGGAGAAAAGAGTCCTGAGGTCCAGTCTAGACTCAAAATTCCTGGGAGGCGCCTAGACACCTGTATTTCTGACCCGGTCATCCAGGTAATATAACAATACACGTCTGAGAACCACACTTTAAGGTCTATGACACACTGTATGTCCCACAGCAAATGACAACAGCAACTGTCACCATTGTTCCTTGACTGCTTGGAAACGTAATACTTAATACTCTATATGCATGTACACTGACTGACTGACTGCTTGGAAACGTAATACTTAATACTCTATATGCATGTACACTGACTGACTGAAATTTAATCTATCTTTAAAAAAGAAAATAGTCAATGCTGGCTAACGAGCCCCGGGGACTCTGTCCTGACGTCCTGGTCACAGACAGTTAATACAAACTTCTGAGTATTTAAATGCCTGAAGTACTTTTGTATTTGACCTGGTGACTGCACATGTACATGTCTAGCCTTAGAAAATGTCTGAAACAAAGACAAAGTTTTACATACAAACTAACCTGCCAAAAACCCAAACTAAACCAGAAGAAAGCTAAACATCTAACAATGGAGGTAGGATCAAGTAATACGGTACAGTCACTCTATGGAATTATGCACTCATTATAAACACTTTGCACTGTTTTTTTTTTATATATATTTTTATTTTTTTATAGAGACTGGGTTTTACCATGCTTGTCAGGCTGGCCTCGAAACCCTGACCTCGTGATCCACCTGCCTCAGACTCCCAAAGTGCTGGGATTACAGGCACAAGCCACCGCACCTGGCTTGCACTGAGTTTTTAATAACAAGGATGTAACAAAAATATTACATATTAAAAACTGAGTTTTTAATAATAAGAATAACAAGAATTCACTGATGTAAGCTCCGGAAACACAGGAAAAAACATCATTTGGTTTACCACTGTAGCGCCATGAAGAGTGCCTGGCGGGGGAGGAACGTGATGTCCGTCACTAAATATGGGAGTGTAATGAATGAGAACATGATATTAATACTATGTGAGCATGTTCCTATTCATTACACTCCCATAAGTAAGTGAGACAAGCAGGGTACCAAAAAATAAAAAAATAAAGCTTAGCTAGAAGAACCAAAAAACCTTAGAAAATGTTCAGTGCTTAATTCCGGGGTGTGGATCCTGCACCAGGTGTCCAAGGGTCCCCATACCTTGACTTGAGAAAGCTCCTTCTGGGGAGCAGTGAGCTTCTTGCTAATCCTGCCCCTGGCCTTCAACTCTTCCACGGTCTTGTAAGAGTATTTGGGCTTCTTCTTGCTTCCACTTGGGTCCTTCCTCCACTGGCTCAGCTCCTTCTGAAACTCCTGAACCGAAAGGATGCAGTCAGATGAAGCAAGGAATGACCACTTTTAACAACAGGTGGAGAAACTGAGACCCCTAACAGATGTCACTAGATCTGTCTACAGGTTCTGCACGAAGGAAGGAAAGGATGCACCTGCATGACAGCAAAACCAACGACGCTCCCTGATCCCACTCACCCTCTGACAAATAATGAGGTTCAGAAGGCAGGTGCACCAGATGGGTCGGAGAACAAAAATGAAGGAAACAACATGTATGGAGCATCTACTACGGGCAGGCTCTATGCTAGTTTTAAATGCACCTCATGTAAAACTTAGAAATGCAACGTAAAGGATTCTTTAAAGTACGTAAAGCCTTGTTTCTAACTTTAAAATGAAGATAAAGAAGGAGGCCCTAACTCTCAAAGCAAAGATATCTCTTAAGGGGCTCTGCGAAACCTTTCTACAGGAGCTGAGGCAAGCTTATCCAACCCGCAGCCCTGGCGTTGAATACAGCCCCACACAAACCTGTAAACTTTCTTAGTCTGACGGGAGTAGAGTCCAGCCCACAGAAGTTGGTTTTGGGGTTGTCATGATGTTTTCTCATACTGGTTAAGACTTGTCATTTTTTTCTCTTCAAGTATCTACACATCTGGCTACTTTGGGAAAATCAGAGGATCAGGCAACACTGAGCCCACATCCTCATAAGCAACAACCACATAGAGCTGAATAAAGATTTACCTTCCAGACAGGCTACAGCCTCACCTCTGTGCCCTAGTCCCCACCACTCCTTATTGTCTGGCACCTGGCTCATCATACTTGCTTCTGTGGGGTGCCTGGCACCTGTAGACTTCTGAGAATCCCTGACTCAAGAGTGGTTAATCCTACATTATCAAATGACTCTTTGGTCAAAAGGTCAGTAATATGAAGAGTAACATGTTTCTCTGCAGCATCCTGCTTTCCCCCATAAATTCACATGGGAAAAGAGTAATTCTTCAATCAACAGAGTTGGCCCCTTCTATCACTGGGGGAAAGGGACACACAGCTGCCAGTAGATGGCTCCCTGCTGCACTTGGGATGAAACCCGAGCACCTAAAACTGGCTGTCCCGGCCCGTCGCGTGGCGTGCCCACCCCTCCGAAGGCACATCCCTCTGCTTTGCGGCCCACCCTCCTGCCGCAAGGGCTTCCTTTTTGGTTTACCCACCAAGCTCAGAGCCTCTCAGTGTCCTCTGGCTTCTCAGCTTACCCTTCCGCCAAGTCTCGACTGAAATGTTTCCTTTCTTGAAAGTGTCCCCTGACCAGCCTATTTATAAAAGTAGGTCAACACCACCTTCCGACGCCCAAGCTTGTTTTCAGCGGAGGCAGCCCCTAGCACCTTCTGCCATTTCAACTGCCACTTCCACACACAGCTGCCTGTTTACGCTCTGTCCGCCCTACGCTCTTTCATCACGGGGCCCCTAGCCTTCAGCCCAGTACCTAGCATACAGTACATACACGCTAAATATCTGAGGACTAACAGAGTGAAGGGGTGAATGAACGGCCATTAGAAATGGCACGGGACACCACCCACCCACAACTCCTGACTTCCAGTTACCTCTTCAGCTTCTTCCTCCGAGTCAACCACAGGGAAGTCTTGCACGGACTGCGTGGTACGCTCGGATCCATAAGCTCCCACAGCACCTTTTCCTTTTCTCTGCTTGGCTTCGATTGGGTTAATGATACCTGATCAATTTCAGCAAAAGATAAAGAGTCTTAAGAACGCAGCAATTCATGTATGTCTGTCAGCCACTCGGTGAAATGAGTTTCTTGCTCATTCCACAAAATAACATACTACGCAGGAAGGAGAGCTATTCTCTGCCCTCAGAACACTACTCATGTCCTTGTGATTTGAAACTTCTGAGCACTTATGCTACCACAGAACAGTCTGCTGACTATTTATATCCCAAATAGTTTTCCGTTTCCACTTGGATTGTATTTTTCTTTTTTTAGATGGAGTCTTGCTCTGTCACCCAGGCTGGAGTGCAGTGGTGTGATCTTGGCTCGCTGCAACCTCTGCCTCCCGGGTTCAAGAAATTCTCCTGCCTCAGCCTCCTAAGTAGCTGGGATTACAGGTACATGTCACCAGGCCCGGCTATTTTCGTATTTTTAGTAGAGACAGAGTTTCACCATGTTGGTCAGGCTGGTCTCAAACTCCAGACCTCAGGTGATCCACCCACCTCGGCCTCCCAACACTGAGATTACAGGGGCGAGCCGCCATGCCCTGCTCCACTTGGATTGTTTTAGTGAACAGGAGGAAAATACCACATTTATAACTGAGAACTCCAGCATACTAAATTCTGTACTTCACTTATTAGGAAGCCTCTATTAGGGAAAATGCAGTAATTCAGATACTAAACTGATTCTGACTGAAGTGAAGCTGAATTTAAGACTCCTCACATATTTTACTTAGTAATTCGTATCTCCTATGCTTAATTTAACCTTTTTAGTTTTTTTTTTTTTTAACTTTTTTATAACAAGTTTAAGCCCTAGAAATAAATGTTGTGTTTTTCTCGTAAGAGTTTACAACCAGGACCACAACATTTAAATGAAGATACTCCCCACACTCCAAATTGTCAATCCCTGCCTCCCTTCCATTTAGTACTGTCTCAATTAAGAACTATCTCGGGCCGGGCGCAGTGGCTCAAGCCTGTAATCCCAGCACTTTGGGAGGCCGAGGCGGGTGGGTCACGAGGTCGAGAGATCGAGACCATTCTGGTCAACAAAGTGAAACCCCGTCTCTACTAAAAATACAAAAAATTAGCTGGGCATGGTGGCGCGTGCCTGTAATCCCAGCTACTCAGGAGGCTGAGGCAGGAGAATTGCTTGAACCCAGGAGGCGGAGGTTGCGGTGAGCCGAGATCGCGCCATTGCACTCCAGCCTGGGTAACAAGAGCGAAACTCCGTCTCAAAAAAAAAAAAAAAAAAAAAAAAAAAAGAACTATCTCGGGGCCAGGCAGTTGAGCCCAGGAGGCTGAGGATGCCGTGAGCTATGATCATGCTATGCCATTGCACTCCAGCCTAGGTAACAGACAGTGAGACCTTGTATCAAACAAACAAAAAACTGTCCCCTCATTCTCATTCAGTGTATCTTTACTGAATTTCATGTATTTTTCACGTACCTAATGTTTAACACATAACCTGGATTTCTCTTTAATAATTATTTAGAGGCCAGGCAGAGTGTCTCAAGACTATAATCCCAGCACTTTGAGAAGTCGAGGCAGGTGGATCACCTGAGGTCAGGAGTCTGAGACCAGCCTAGCCAAGACAGTAAAACCCCGTCTCTACTAAAAATACAAAAATTAGCTGGGTGTGGTGGCAGGCACATGTCATTCCTGCTACTCGGGAGGGTAAGGCAGGTGAGTCACCTGAACCTGGGAAGCGGAGACTGCAAGTGAGCCGAGATTGCACCATTTTACTCGTCTGGGCAACAAGTGAAATTCCATCTAGAGGATACATTTGATTATATCTACTTGGCGATCACACATCGGAAATAGCTCAAGAAGAAGAAGGAATATTCCTGTGGGAAGAATCCAACTGTTTGCTTTGAGTGGCTTTGGTCTCCAGAAGGTAAGACTGTGTTATCTTCTAGACAAAGATGGAAGTTACCGGTGTGGGATTTGCTCAGCCGGTTTTACATCCACATGGCTCTAGCTATTAAAACAGCACAATGTTTTATTGATATTCCTGAAAGACAAATAACCATTTCTGCAAAATTAAAACCCTTGTGAGTAGGGACGACAAACTCAAATGCCTTTGGGACCAAGAAAAGTTCAGCTGGGTTCGGATGGAAGGCTGCAGGGAGCTGTGGAGACTGCGTCCTAGAGAAGACCACGTCCATTGTCCCAGGAGCAGCTCTGATTTGCCTCAGCTAACTCCTGCCAGGAAAATCTAGAAGTTAAGGTGAAACTGTCTCATTTTAAAATACTAGCAGCTAACTCATTTTATTTATTTATTTTTGAGACAGAGTCTCGCTATATTACCTGGGCCGGAGTGCAGTGGCATGAACTCAGCTCACTGCAACCTCTACCGCCTGGGT